CCCCTGACCCACCCCAGGCAGGTAGCCCCTAGCAACCCCGTACCAACCAACCAACCCAACCATCCCAACCAACCCAACCATCCCAACCAACCCAACCAACCCAACCAACCCAACCAACCCAACCAACCAACCAACGCGACCGACCAGCCCAACCAACCCCACCAGATCAACCAACGCTCTTAACCCAAGCTACCCGAGCCACCCAAACAAGCAAGTCACCCAAGGAAACCCGCCAGCCCAACCAACCCAACCCACCCAACCGACCCACCCCAGGCAGGTTGCCCGAGCACCAACCAACCAACCCAACCCACCAAACTGACCAACCCCAGGCAGGTAGCCCAAGCAACCCTGTACCAACCAACCAGCTCAACCATCCCAACCAACCCAACCATCCCAACCAACCCAACCAACCAACCCGACCAACCAGCCCAACCAACCCCACCAAATCAACCAACGCTCTTAAACCAAGCTACCCAAGCCACCCAACCAAGCAAGTAACCCAAGGAAGCCCGCCAACCCAACCAACCCAACCAACCCAACCAACCCAACCAACCCAACCAACCCAACCCGCCCAACCGACCCACCCGAGACGGGCAGCCCAAGCAACCCAACCAAGGCACCAAACCAACCCAAACAACTCAACCGACCCAACCAACCCGACCAACCCAGCCAAACATAGCCGAAGTTCGCCTAGGCATGATCGTTTTTTTGTAAAGTGAAGGAATCCCAGTGAACCCACGTCTCGTATGAACGCCACCCCCCGAAGTTCTAATCTCAAAGCTGATATCCTTCTATTCCTTCTCTATATGTATGCACACTACTCGAAGGGTTTTGGGGGTCACCTTAGCCCAAGCCCTAACAACCCTAAAGGAGCAGACCTGTTTGATGTGTTTGAGACACACAAGACTAAACAAACGAAACTCTCGCGCGGAAAGCGTATAGCTACTGTGTCTCCAAAGTGTCAACAGTCTCAGGGATCAGAAAGCTCATGGTCGCGAAACGCAGAAATGTCGTCGCTTTTGGACTCGTGATGCGTCTTCGCGTCTCAAAAGTGTCAACAGTCTCAGGGATCAGGGAGGTCCTGGTCGCGAAACGCACAACTGTCGTTGCTTTTGGACTCGCGTGGCATCTTCGCGTCTCAAAAGTGTCAACGGTCTCAGGGATCGGGGAGGTCCTGGTCGCGAAACTTCGTGGTGGCTGATTCGGGTTCCGTGGTGGCTGATTCGGGCCTCTTGGTGGCTGATTCGGGGGTCTTTGGCAGAGTCCGAAGAAGAAAGTTTCAGCCATTCTCAATACATGTCTGGGTTTTTGAAAGCCCCGGCTGGTTCCCGTTACGCAGGGCCCAGCGGCCCTGTTACGGAAACCCGCCCGGTCCTGTTACGGGATTGGGGCCGCTGTTACACTCCCCTGTTACGGACAATCGGTTCCTGTTACTTCCAATCCTCGCTCATTCAGCAGGCACAAGGCTTGGCCGAAACTGTGCCATTCGAGGAGCTCTTCCTCCTCTGGAAACTTCTCCAGGACTGCCAGGAGAGCTTTGCGGCTGAGAGCACGAATATCGCACACTGTGTCAGCCTGAGATGCTCGACTTCAATCTAAAAGGACATACGAGATGAGTTGCAATTGCCCCCTCTCACTCCAAATCTGCCATCTCGTCATTCCCCCTCTTTTTTCCGTCGCTGCTCATGCTCAGTTCAGAAAGCTGTGGATACTTGCTGGCTCCTTGGCCTTCCTGGTGCTCCCGCCTACATCCGAAGGTTTGAGCGTGATAATCTACTCCTAGCTGGGACTTGTCTGGTGGTGGAAAGATTCTGGACCTCTTGCCGAGGTCCTCTTAAACTGGCTAATGGCTGAAACGCGCCCTCAACCAGCCCCAACCCAGATGTGCAAGAAACTCTTCCTGCAAATTATCGCAGCTCCCTCTCTCTCTGGAATGATGCCGTCGGCCCAGTGGGCTGGAATTGCTGACCGCTTCAGTGACTTTGCCAGTCGATCTCCAAGAACATTCGAATAAGATGAATAAGCTTTCTGAGACACGAAGAGTTTGCAAGAAACGCCTTGTCGGAAAGATATTCCACGCAATAGACAAGTTTTGCAAAATTACGTCTCGTGTGTTCATTCATCTCTGCAACCTGCCAAGGCGACCTGTTGACTTCCCGGCCTTTTCGGCGTGGCCTACATACTGTACAGGCATCATTGACAACAACACCTCAGCAAGTAGAAACGATTAAAGAGATGTCCTCGCCAATTACAATCGTCCAGGTAGCCATGACTGTCTCCTTCCGCGTTTTGGAAATACCCAGCGCCGCAAGACCTCCAAAGCAGCTTCCAGGGTGTAGCCGGCTGAACCTGCACACAACTGCAAACGAGTTCAGGCTGGACAAGCACTGCCAGCTTGAGCAACTGCTAGTCAAAGCCATGCGGCCGATCACTGCCACCTGAGGCACGCTTCACATCCGTCAAACAGCCTCCTCCCTACTTCTGAGGAACTGAGCTCGGCTCTCCTCAGAACTTTGCATTTTCCAAGCACCAAGACCTTAGCATTTACTCTTCAAGCGAATCACTGATTGTTCATGGTTGCTGCATGTGCGCAAGGTCCCGCGCAAACATTTCCTCTCCAAAATCACCCTCTTGGACCACAATTTCATCTCGAGAGCAGATCCTCACCGATCAAAGAGCTCAGCAGAACTCAAAAGTAAACCGCACGTCTTGTTCCCATTTTGACAACGCTCCTCTGCACAAACTGGCCTCGGGAGCTGTCAAAGGCAACGAAAGGCCAGAGCAAAGCACGATCTGCCAGAGCCAAGAAGCTGCTCAGCATCTCTTGAAAGTCTTGACCGCAGTCTGCGAACATGGCAATGTTCCGCCTAGGTCACAGGGCCACAGTGCCGCAAATCACTCCTCCCTACAGTCCTACACATTCTGGCAAGCGGCATGCCATCCATGTGGGGGCTGAGTAGTTGAAGGTGCCTGAACGAAGACGCAACTTGTTGAGGCCGACTGTTCACAAGTGCACCGGCAGGCCGACAGGCGAGGATAGATGAATTTCACAATTTTTCTGTTGAGACGGAAAGTCTGGCGATGTCTGGTGTTCGCGCGTCTGGGGCGCGAAGTACAAATACCACTTGTGGACAAGGGCGGTCCTCTGGTAAGGAGAAGCATAAACAAGATCAAACTGGAAAGTCAAGAGCACCAGCCCTAGGCACGAGGTGAAGTATCGGGGATCGAGCCGGAGATCCTCACGAGACCTGTAGGTCTTGCGGCCCTCCTATCATAAGCGAGTGCTTACACTTCAAAGGATTTTTAGCTATTAGGCCCTCAGCATCTGTGGAAAATCTTGATGAGAGCTTGCCTTTGTACACATCAGCCTTTAGCCGACTGGCTGCGAATTAATGCACACAGTATATGCCAAAAGGTTCAAAGGTCCCGCAGAGGTGGGGAAAAACTGCGAAACTGGCCGCATCGGCAGCACAAGTGCTTTCACATGCCGAGGCTGAGGACATTGCAGAATGCAGTCTGCCTCGGTCTCTCTTGGTTGCCATCCCACCTTTCACCTGCTTGTGGCTTGGCAAGAGGCAGGAATTTGGAGAGCTCCAGGCACGGAAGCACGGAATCTTGAGCAGGAAATGCTGCAACTGCCACCCCGCGTGCCCCATACGGGCCACCGATGATCAGCCGCACGCACTCTGCACAGCTTAGGCCAACGTCCACTGCCCGCTCTTTGCAGTACACTGTAGTGTTGAACGTTGCCTGCCCATGGTATGGTAGGAAGCCTTGTGGCTTCACATTTCTGACATTCAAGAAAGCTTCATAATCTGTGGCATGCTCTCTTCGGAAAACCCAATTCTCCATCCTTCTACAACCCTCCGAATCACACTCCTCAATAATGCACTCTGCCCAAGCAGATGCATCCTCCTGCGTGGGCTCAGCTACTTCTGGAGGAGCGTTGCGTGTAGGAGGCTCCAAGACCGCAAGCCGTCCAACTCTGGACGCTCTGCTTGCTCTGCTTCTGGACATCGTGAGAGACCGCGAGCTTGTCGAGCTTGTGGTCTTGTCTACGTTTTGCGAGAACAGGTTCACAAACTGCATGCCGTAGCAGCAGCTGACGAGTGCCGCACAAGCCAGCTGCACGGGAGGAAGGTTGCGACATGGTTTCTTGGGCTCCTTTTTGCATAACAGCATGCTAGCAACTGCCTAAGCGCAACTGCTGCTAAAATACTTTGAGCATTTTATGGTGGCCAAAGACTGTTGCGGAGGACATGTTCAGCCCCTTTCATTTCAAACGACCCGTCGCCTATCATACTACACTTTCACCTTCTAGCTACTGCATTTGTGGTCTCGCTCACACATCCGCCTGATAGAGATTCGATCGAACAAACCGCACTCACGTGGGAACCTCATCCGAAGGTCCTGCAGAAAAGTTCTGGGTTCTACATTTTCTCACGCGACAGGTGCCATAATAGCACAAGTAACCTCAGAATCTCGGAGCTGCAGCACCCATGCCACGCAATCAGTCTCAGCCTTCAGACTCAAAGAAGTTGGACGCGCAACTTCTGAAGCATGACAATTTTGCGCCTTCACCGTGCAAGTCCTTAGCTGCTTGATGCTACTGCTTTGGCTTGCAGTCTCCATCAATCTCGTTTGAAAACGCCGCCAAGCGTCTGCTCGACACAAGTTGCACCAACCTCGAGGGTTTGTTAGCGACTGAGGCTGAGAGTTCAAGAAGACGTCCGTCCCTACCAGTTTTTGGAAGCAGCAGACTCTCCTCTCTCTTCCTTTTCTTCTGCCTTTTCTCTTTCTTCTTCTATGCGCTGTATGCAGTTCAAAGACCACGCAGGGCTGTACATGGACTGAAGGGCCAGTATTGTACATGGACTGAAGGGTGCGAAGGATTGACATCAGTTGAGCCCTCTCAATGCATGCACCGTGCTCCAACGCCCCCCACCCGCTTTTCAAACATGAACCCGCACTATGTCCAACAATGAATGCACCTTGCAGATAGCTCCGAAAACCATGACAGTTCTGCTCTTCGCCATCGAAGGCTCCAAAAGTGATGACAGTTCTGCACTTCGCCACCACGAGGCTCCAAAAGCAACAACAGTTCTGCAATTTGCAGGTATGAGGCTCCAAAAATAACGAAGTCAGTGCTCACCACGAAGCTCCAAACATAGCAAAAACAGTTCTGCATTTCGCCGTGACAGTTCTTGCCCTTTGCAGAAATGATGAAGGAGCTGTGTGTGCGGGCGAACGATGGAGGTCGAGTGAAGTTTTCTGGGTATCGAAAATCCTTTTTGCCTCCTTCCAGGGTCGAGTTTCTTGTTCACTAAAATGAGACAATGAGACTGCTCAGCGCTCATCCTGCCCGCTGCTCACCGGAGGAGGAAAGGGTGCCGCAGCTTCAGCACAGACAACATGAACGCATTGCCACGCAAAAAATGCTATGTGCTAGCAGCCGCATCCCTCGGGGTTACCGTGCTTCACACTGACGACAGGATTGGGTCAGTACTTGCCCCTCGGATCCAGCAAAAACGAATTACACTCGCACCTCACCTCCAGCATTCCCCACCAGCTCTTCCAGGCACCGTCTTGCTCTCGAGACCTCGATTTCTTTTTTCAAGCTCAGCTAGCCGCTGGCCATGTTTGGGAGGGGCGCAGTCTGATGATTGAGGTGCTGCCACGAGATACCAGCGCGCGTCCTCCGGAAAACAGCACGCCCCCCTCTAAAGAAACAAGCCAGATTCGCCAAAAAGCTCTCCTGAGTGAAGGTAGAAGCCTGGGTTCATGGGACAGGCCTTCTAGCAACTCTAGCGGGAGCATGCAGCACAGCTAGGCAGGAATGATGTTGAGGTTACTCATTGCCTCAAGGTGCACAGGCTGAAAGACGCTGACAATCCAAAGGTAATTTCTGATGCCTGTCTTCCTACCAACCTGGCCGGGTGCAGGACCATGGCGGGCTAGTGGGCCAGGGCAAATCAGCATCTGTGATTTGCATTCCAGCTTCTGGCCCACTCTAGACGAAGCAGACCAAGGAGTTGTCCGAAATACCACGCAGCACAGGCACGGCTCTGCCACTGTACACTGTAGGATGAAGCTTATTGGACCTAGTCCCAGACAGCTTTCTACTAATCTGAGACACCCCAAAGAAAGAAGCCTAGCGGCCAAAGTTTCCAGGGTCGCCCTCAGCACAAATGACCTCCCCTGCCGGGTGGATCTTAATCTGCATGAGATCGACAAAGGTGGACATGAAGTCCTAGCCACGCCGCAGGCCCAGAGCGCATGCCGAAAATGCCTGGCTCTAGACTGAGGGTCCTGGACAACATTGCAGAAAAGCTTTGGATAGCAGCGCATGTAAAACCTCAGTCTCCAAGTCAAAGAACCCAGAAGGCTGATACCATGCCCTGGTCAGGACGAGAAACTTTCGAACCCACGCTCTGATGATGCTGCATGTCATCTTCCGAGCACGGTTTTTCAGTTTCTGGTAGTCCTCAAAATACCTGAGTCAGGAAATGCAAATTGTTGCACTGATAGGGCGTCCACGGCTAAAGCTTCACGCAGCAGACACCGTATCAAGCGGCTACTCACTCTTCGGAGAACTTGACATTGACAAGAAGGCATGTTAATCGCCATGAGAGAATGGTCATCGTGGAAAATTGGCTACAACTGTAACTGCTACATGCAGCGCGCGGACCATGGCTAGTAGTTGCGAAGAGTTACTTGTCATGGCATGAAAGACACAATTTGTCTTTAGAGCATGGCACCTTTGAGATAGGCTGGTAAGGTCATCCATGTGCAGCAACCAGAGATCTGTGGCCGAAGGTCTCTTCCTGACCCAAACAAACCAAACAGCATAGAGCGCAGCTCTGAAGACTTAGGGGCACACTGCAGACAGAAAAGGCTGTGTTCCACCAATTCGAAGGCCACATCCTCACAGGTGAGCCATTGTGCCCAGTGTCTGGCCAGAGTATACAGTGCTTCTACCAGTATTTGCAAGACTTACAATACCCTTCGGGCCTGGCCGGCAACTCCTCGGAGAAAGCTTTCGTGCAAGTCTTGGCTGAGCTTGGTATCATTATAGAGCACCTGGAAATCTTCTGAAATCTTCTGGAGTTTTGGAGAATGATACGTGTCAAATGACTCGCCTGTAGATCTTGAGGATCACCAAGTGCCACAATAAGTCCTTTCCTGACACGTGATGCAACACCAACGCAGCCAACGTATGCCAGGCGAAACGTGGTCATAACACGCGCTGGACTGCACCATTCGTCAGGCACACGCGAGCCAGGCTGCATGATGACCTGCACAAACTCTCTGAAGCATGCAGCTGCAAAACCAGCGTCACGCAAGAATCCAAGTAGGGATCAACCTATACAATATAGGATGAACAAAAGGGCCATATGTCCCTGGCTGCTGTGTCTCAAGAGAGTGTTCCATGCTACTGCAACACGTCCAGGCCTTGCTCGTGCTCACTGCAGGCAGTGGGTCGAAGAGCGCATCCGAAAGCGGATCAGCCTCTCATTGAAAAACAAAACTTCTGAGCTCAACCAGGCAGCTTCGGCACCTTCCTGTTGCTCTCGGAACCAAGTACGTCCAGCGGCAGAGGTTTCACGGCCTTTGCCACCCTTGGCCATTGTGCAGCGGCAAGGCATTGCATATCGGATCACGGGACACCGAGCAGATCCAGTTTGGCTTCTGGTCAAGTCTCTGATCTCGAAAATCTCTTGACGTGTCGGCAAAAAAGGGATGTCTCCGTATCAGCTTGGCCTCGTGACCTGAGTTGGTCAAGCGATAAGCACCAGCAAAAACCAAAGGAGGTATGTCACCGAGTATGTATGAAGCCCGAGGTCAGCCACCACTCGAGTTTTCATTTGCGCTGGCAGAAGCACTTGATCCAAGATGCCTACCATGGTACTTGGCAAAGCTCCCCTTACAGCATGCTGAGGGATATGAGGCGAAACACGGTTGCCTGAAGCGAACCGCCGCCCTGGCTGCAGTAGACACTGATTTCAGGTTGATCTTTGCCAGCTTGTCCTTGAAAGACACACCAAACACGATCGAATGCCCGCTCAGCACCCCGAAGGTTTACCAAGTAGGCAAGCACATCATGTTCATCCAGCGACTGTGCCAGCAGAATCCTCACTTGGCCTGGCAGTGACGAATGTATTCCATCTTTTCCGGACTCTCTCTACTTTCCACATCCCACAGTGTCCTACAGCACTACGTCAGCCTAGGAAAGCTGCGGGACGATATCGGACTGACATCCGCACTATCAGAACCTGAGCGGAGCGGTGAGGGCGGCAGGCGATGGAGTCACGCACGGGTTTTCGCTCGGCAGGATCACCATCAGATCAGACAGCAAGCCACTTTGTTCTGGGTTAGGGACAGTTGCACGGCAGGCTATTGGTTTCAGCTGGCAGTGGCTTTGTCATTACGCTGGATGGGTCCAAGGCGCCATCTGCCAGACTGCTTTTTGAATGTCGCCGCAGGGGCAGCCGTTCCATTCAGCACATCAACTCGAGGGCGCCATGGGCAAGGGCTTCATCTTGCCAGCAAGCTACCGACAAGGATACCATGACATTAATATGTTGTTGCACTCTTAATCCCTTGCCTTAAGTCTCCGCAGCCTTAACACATCAACCACAGGCAGAACCACTGCGAAAGCCGGCGGCATGGCACGATGCATGCTGACTCACGTCGCCAGCATGGCAAGACACAGCCAGAGATCATCCTACATCTTGAATCCAAAGTGGTCTGGCGGGTCCTTGACAAGCAGCGTGGCCACCTCGACGCTGAGACGGAAGCATGAGGCAGTAATTCACTTGGCCAAGGCATGCCAAGCGCTTCTAACTCTTAACTCAGTCTGGCGCATATCCGATAGCAAAAAGTACCTCGTCTCGTCTTGCAAACAACACGTGCTAGTACGACCTCGAAGCAGGAGTAAACTGGTCAAGACAAGCAGCCCACAAGGTAACCGTTGTCAGCGTCATAAAGCATCCAAAGTACGTGAGGAAGGCCTTTCCTCTGCACCTCTTGCAAGGACGTGCCACATCCCAGCATTTTGTGATAATTACTTCTTGCCCCACCTGCTACAGAAACCGCGAGTAACTGTGCGGTCCACAAAGCTGGCCCGCTCCATTGACCCAAGGCCCACTGCCACAGATCGACAATAGGCCGCCTGGCAAAGCAGGAGCTAAAGTAGCCACGGTCTGCAGGAGCAGCCTCCTGCCTCAAGGCTCTCCTTGGCTAGGCTGATGGAGTGCAGCACACAAGTGAGATGATAGAGGAGCACAAGGAAGATTGTCAGGAACACGATGACAGGGCCTGGACATGCCACAGGCCAGTGGCATCACATACCAGTATACACGAATTAAATCCAGCCTGTCGACAGCAAATTAAACATCCATCGTCTTGGTCCAGCGGCCACAAGCCTTCCAACAAAGATACATGCTTTCTGGAGGAAGATTCGGACCAAAGAGGTGCGGCCTTCCATCACCTCAGCTGCGGGTCGATGAGTCGCGTACATGCCAGACACACATAGGCAAACACAAAGCCGGGAATGGGTCAGACCAACGTGTTCCAGCTGATTCATTGTTGGAAAGCCGTGCTGAGTCCAGCTGCCCAGTTCCCAAATGTCGCTCACAATGCGGACCACGAACAGCAGCAGCCTTCGCATGCTGGCCGATGTACGTGTCAATGCTGCCTGTATCCTTCTAATCCACAACACATGCAGAGAGGGCAAGAATTGGCACCACCCGCTGGGCGCAGCACAGCAGCATTAGGAAGAGCACGTGGCGCAGGTTGAAAGGCAGTCCGTAGAACTTCGCAGCAAGCACCCTGCCAGGACAGATTTGCGGCTGGCCGGCACATTTTGACGCATCGGCCTTGCAATCATTGTTAGCACGCACAGCACCGAGACTGATGTGTAGACCTCAAAGGGCAGAGTTGTGTAGATGATTTGTGTCTTTAACCCACCCGACACACAGACCATTCCACCAGTGCTGCTGCGACACAGCAGCCAGTGCTTGGCCAGCTCTAGCCACATCCTCGCTCTCGCTGTCTCCATGGCTTTCCATCTGCTCCACATGCCAGCTGGGAAGCTGGATGAAGCTGGGCAGGGTCTTCTCTTGCTTTCAACCACTCCAGAGTGACACGGTGACGCAACAGGGTGTGAAGCGCGATCCTTCAGAAGAGCTAAAGAGCGATAACATCGCCGCTGGCAGCTAGTAATGGCAGAGGTGATAACATGTTAGGGAGCGAGCTAGGACCCTGCAGTCACGCACACGATGTTTCATAGTTGTAGTATTGGACAACGAAGAACATCTGCAAGCATCAAGGCTGGAACGCAGTGTAGCCAAAGCCCAGCAAGTCTTTGCTATCTGGGAGGGCGTAAATTTTGAATCCTGGATCCTTAGCAACTTGTGCCAGCATTGGCTGCACGATTTTGAGATCATCCCTCCAGGCTCCGGTCTGCGAACATCGTGCCAGAGACTGTAGCAGCAACTCTGGCCTTCAGCGACTTCCAGCAGACATCGGTGACCAGAAGTAGACTGCTAGTAGTACGAATAATGCGAGTAGTAGAAGATTTGCAAAAAGCTGCTGGGCTTCCTCTGCTCTGGACTGCCAAGCTCTGGACCCAAGTTTCACCTTGCCAGACCATCAGCCTGCCTGAGATGTGATGCAAAACAAGCACACTTCTCCTTGGGCCTTGCTTCGATGAGTTTGTGCCTTTTTTTGGAGCAGAGCTGGCAGGAGGTGGGACTAGGTCCTTGTGAAAGAAGGCTGGGACCAGCGGCCAGCAGCCAAGGGTCGGATTGGAAAGCAAAAAGCCCATGTTGTGGCACGCAGCCTTTGCCTTAGGATTGAGGCAAACAGCTTCTAGCCGTCGGCATGCACCGACCTCCCGTGCCCAGGTTTGCGCGAAGTCCACCAAGATCTTGGCAGCCCCCTGGTTCCGTGCTTCTGGAAGCACGGCAGCATGCCAAAGAGATGCGACTCTAACTGCTCTCCTTCGCCTTGTCCAGCACCAGCATCGCTTTGAAGGCTTTATGCGTTCGAAACGAGTGGCCACACGCACACATACCACACCCAGGATTTGGTTGGAACCTTGAGCCTCTGCCAGAATGACGGCCGCCGGATCTAGACCTCTCTGCCAGCCAGGGTCTTTCGGGCCGCCAGGTCCTTTCAACTCGCCAAAGCTCAGGTCGTAGGCTAAAACGCACCTGGCCAGGAGCCAATGCACGAAATGCTGCAGCACCGCCAGAAGAAAATATCCTGCACCTGCCCGCGGACTCAACTCATGCTCCCAATGGTCCCATCTCAGGAGGCCCAGACTAAGTGCCCCCGCAGCAAGCCATGCTGGTGGACCAGCAAGTAAAAACCGGGTAGTTTCAGGCACCATTTCCAGCAAGTGATGGTGTTCCCTCCAGATTCGCGCCAGGGCTTGCCAGTCTGCATCTGCAGCTATTCGCGCGCGACATCTCACAGCGCAGGCAGGATTTGCATTTTCCAAAGAGCTCGGTGTCTCCAGGCCAACTGCCAGCAACAACTGCGACATTGAGGCCTGCGCGATCAACCATTCAGGCAGGATTGTCCCGAACAGCTCTGAAAGGCGTCCCTGTAGAAAGACTGCGGACACGGAGTCCAAACCAAGGCTGCCCAAGGGGACGTCATCAGACATCATGTCGCCTTCATGTGGCAAGGCTGCCGCCACTGCTTTCCTCATGTCACCAAGAGGACTGCTCGCTGCAACCCCCGTTCCAATGGAACAAGGAGTCCTAGCTGACGCAGATTTGTCCGTGTCGCCTGTATTTCTGCGTTCAAGACAACCTCCACGCTCCATGAGTACGCTAAAGTTGTGTATCAGATCTTGAATGCTGCTGTGACTTATCACCTCTGGGTAATACAGAAGAGTGACTTCTGGCCGGGCTCCTGTGACAACGTGTATTTCCAAGCCGGCAAAACTGAGCTTTGACTTCGGACATAGGCCATTCCGTACAGCACCATGCATTTTAGGATTCTCTTCAAGCTGGAAATCATGCTGTCGCCGCATATCATAAAAAACATCATATGGGATCTCCCAGCCTTCTGCCCCCTCACTTTGCAGAGCGCGCACAATCTCCAGCAAAGGGGCAGCACCGTCACGCCTTGCAGATTGCATCTCTGTATGAACGTGTTGGGCTGCTTGATACAGGGAAGTTCTGCCCACATCCAAGCAAACCAGAATCGTGTTTGAGCAGCAGCCGAGGATGTCCAAACCTGGTCTGTAGGAGTGAGGCAGACCGAATACCAACTTCTGCCGCCAGTCATGAAGCAGACTTGCAAACATGGCCACCATAAGGTCCAAGAAAGTCACTTGCCACATTGCAGCCGTTTCATGCAATCGCCTCATAACGGAGACATCTAACTGAAGGCACTCGATTCCAACGCCTCCGCTCCTCTGATTTTCACGTTTGAGGGCCTGGTCCGCTTTAACTTCCCGCAGCCGGCTGACCCTGCGCAACACAGCAGAGCTCCAAAGACCCAAAGAAGCTGCACGTCTCTGCCACTGAGCGAAGTCAGCTCTGTCCAGTTCCACCACTGCAAGGGGTCTTCCCTGCAACAAGGCCCAGAACTCCCGAAGCAGTCTTTCCAGGGACCAAGCATCTAGAAGTACCGGGTGAGCTACAAGCACCACAGATATCTTTGTATCGCCGAGGTGGATGCCTATCTTCAACGGCGGTTTGCCCACCGGGCTCGTTGATTCGTGAAGCACATCTGACAGGGATGTCAAAGAGCATGCGAGAAAGCAGTCGGCTGAAGTCCGTTCGTAGTAGGCCTGAAAGCTTGAAGAAAGTGCACAGCGGCGGAAACAAGTCCTACAAGCCAAGTGCCTCTGCACCACCTCTTGCAAAACAGAGTGCCAATTTGGCGATAGCACGCACGCGCCGATGGCTGAAAACTCGGCCAGCCAGCAATGGCGGGGCTGCGACGTCTGCCAGTGCAGCCCGAGGAAGCCCTCTTCCAAGAGTGAGACAATGGTGGGAGCGGGTGCCCAAAGCTTGCGGGGAATGGGAGTCGGCCAGCACGACCAAACTTCACGCAGTCTCTCCTCTGCGTCCGTCTCAACTGCAATATCCATTCCATTGCCACCTACAAGCAGAAACTTTGCGGCGCACCACGTGGGCGCAGACCTGTCCTACCGAAGAGCTTGACAGCAATGATGACGTAGCAGCCTTGAGATGACTTCGGCGTGAAAAATCATTGAGATCCGCGCGCGTCTACCCTGGAGCGACAGGCTGCAAAAAAGCGAGCGCGCACTTGTTTGCGTTATCGTTCTGCGGTCGACGTCTTTGGCTCCCTGGCACAATCCAAGTTACTGGCCCATGTGGCACTGCTTACCATTGGCCACCTGGAATCTTCCCAGTCCTACACTCTAGCACGCAAGTGGAGCCAAAGGGTGCCTGACGATGGCCTAACTGGGTGAAACGTGTGAAACTATGTGTAGCAGGCAACTGTACCTCGCCGTTCGTTACCTACCCCGCGCCAAAGACAGGCCGTGCCTGCCCAGTTGGGCTCAGGCAAGCTGACGGGTGAGTCACAATGAGTCAACTGTTCCATCGCGCTGCCAGAGCTGCAGCGTGCCATTTTCCGCCCCCAAAACGTAGATGCCATCATGCCCGGCACAGCATAAAGTTTGTACCTGCAGCGGCAAAAAGAGGAAGCACACCACATGCTTACCTCTTTCGCCCGTTACCTCCACTCCTCTGGCAACGGACAGCAAGACAAGAGCACCCGCGCAACCTACGTGCAACTTCCTGCCGGCCTTACACCTCTCCAAGGCATGCCAATACTTCTTGAGAACGAAGTTCGGCAGAGAAATGGAGCTCACTTGACCTTTGGCATGTCCACAAAGCACTCGCGGACCTGACTCCAAGCCAGCCTTGGAAATGGGTTTCGACGACAAAAAATCCAGGCTTCCCCTGAACCAAGATAACGGCAAGCGCAGTGCGTACCCAGAAGCTAGCAGCATCACAAGCACCCATTAAGGCAAAAAATCGTTTGGGCAAAAACGAAAAGGTGGTGGATCCCGCCCTCCTTTCCAGACTCATGTAAAAAACAAATGGTGGTCTGGGGCTTTAAATGGGTTAGAATGTCCCCTCCTGGCTTCGGAGCCAGGTTGCAAGGGGCAGATCAGGAATTACTGATTTCCCGATAGTGCTAGGCCTCACAGCTACTGCATCATTTTTCGTGCCAAGGGTTTGTACTCCTCTTGGGTGTTTCTTGTGCAGATTTTCGAACTTCGGCTCTTGTATTATAATTCAATTGCCCGCTACCCCCAAAGGCCCTGAAACTCCTTGGGTTTCTGGGGAAGTGTAGTCATCAGATGAGAGACAACCCACGAATTGCGGTCGAGCGTCTATGCACAGCACCGGTCCGGCAGGCAGTGCCGGCTGCTTATGCTTCATAGCACCCAAAGCATCGAAGATGCACATGCTACCATCAGCATAAACAACAATCCTCAGTCGAATTGTCTTAAATTCTTGCAAAGCTCATGCTTATCGCACGCTTCGGCTGCAGGATGTCGCTAGGCTCTCGACTGTGCCGGCCTCTTGTCATTGCTACGCGTGGGGAGAAAACACGCCAAACTAGACATTTCAGGCAGACCCGGATAATCAACAGCCGATTTTTTGTGATGGTGATACTGCAGTGAAAAGCTCCTGCGTTGGCTTCAAAGCTTGGTTCCTGTTTCGCTTAAAAGCAGAAAAGTTGTTAGAGCTGGCAGGCATCATGTGGCCTTCAAACTGCAGAAGACCTGGTCAGAGAGAAAGGGACCACCAGCAAGCTGCAAGCAAGCTCTGCATTCATGCGCAAGCTATCCTTCCCGGCCTGACACAAACTTCCTTGGCTCCAAGTGCTTCACGACTTTCAAACTTGCCAGCTCCACCTCAGCTGCAGCTAGGCCAGACCCTCCAAATACTCCAAAACAGTCCCGGCAATGAAAAGAATCTATCTCAACTGAATCTGACTGAATCTCAACGGACAAGGCTCCAGAGCCACTCCCGAGGTCCCTCCAACCCAGAGTCCTTCGCCCAGGACCGAAAGCGAGGTCACAGCTCCAGAAATACCCTCGTTGATCGCGTGCGTGCCTTGGTAGTAAGATTCCAACAAGGATGTTTCCACTCCAGGCTCTAGGGGAGCTTCTCCCTCTGATGCTGAACCAAGGAACATTCAAAGGTTTGTGTGTGCACATTCATTTGCCAGCATCTAACCGACCCATCAGATGCTCCCGAAAGGAGCACATGCTGATGGGTCGTGAGGCAGCCCACACGTTTTGTGTGGCCCTTGAGTGTTGTCTCCGTGCCGGACTTCATGAAGCCCTGCAACAGGGCACTTGAACATGCACGATTATCAACTCTCCTGCAAGTCAAGAGCCTTGATGCTTCCATCACCGAGCCCACAGAAGAGCCAGTCTCCGGCACTAATAAGACACCAGCAAACGTCCCCAAGCGGCACTTCAAGGTCAACGGACAGCTCATACTTGCCCGAGGTCGCTTTCGAAACCTTCCACCTCACGAGAAATCATCAAAAGCATCCTGCAACGAACCACACGAGAGCTCGACAGCAAAGCAGGGAAGCCAATCCTTGAAACCTGGCCTTTTCAGAGTCTTGTCGCGCGAGGCTGTGTAAATGCAGTCAGCCGCCATGACAATTGACATCACCGCATCCGTGTGAGCTTTCTCGACTTCGGAGTGCCGGAACATTCCATCTTCTCCTCGCATTGGATAAACGTATTTGATCATGATGCTAGCATGAGCTACCAATTGCTGTTCAAGAGTCGAACTTCTGTCTGGACAGTGACTGGCAAAGGACCCGCATTCGTCCGTCCAGGGTTTTTCCGGCGGGCACCAGCTTTGTTGCCTCGACCTCCTCCTCGGGACGGCTTCTCCTTCTGTCGACGGACCACACCTGCATGACCAAGGCAACCAGAACCTGTTTGAGCCGAGCAGCTCCATACTGGAATGCCTGGAGGGTGGCCCTGTGGATTGCGGCCGTCCTGTTGCTGGCCGCGGCCTCTTCCTCTTTTTGCTTCAGGGAACGAGCGAATGCACTATGCTGGTTGCTGCAAGCGGCCTCTACCTCGTCCATGAGAGTTGCCGCCCCTGCGACTGTTGCGGGCCATGGCAATCTGTCTGAACCATCATGCCTGGCGGCACCCTCGCAGTTCATGAAAGTCCAAAACCCAAACATCCCAGCTTTATGCCTTTTGCGGTTCCATGTGGCACGTACAAGCTTTTGAGTGAAACTGGTGGCAAGGGTTTGCAGGCCCTGTAGCATGTGGAAAATCAGCTCGACACAATGCACAGGCTTCAAAGTGTGAGCCTACATACCTGCTAACGACCTGCTGCCTACCTGGCTCTTCTGTGGTTTGAGGCTGGAGCGTGCTAGGGCCTAGGTACATTGCCCTAGCCACGACAAGTGTAACTTGTCTCAGCTCCCCTGAGATGCCAAAGACTTGGCAGACTGCTCCAAATTATCCAGCTGCACCTGGCAATGAAGGTCTCGATACTTGAACAATGTCGCTATCCCTGTACGTGCTCGGAGGATTAACCCCGCTGGAAAATCTTGGAACAGCTCGGGCCTTCTGCTGATCATTCAGCTTGGCCTTCTGTTCCGCAGTGAGCTCCTGGCCTGATGAAACCACACACTTGCAAATGGTAAGCCAACACCGGCTTGGACATGAATGCACCTGAATACATCCTTCCCCACTCTCCATTAATGAGACAGGTTTCCCACCACTGTTTCTTGCTTGTTGATCATTTCCTCAGATGCAACACACAAGAAATTAAGAAAGGCGAAGTCCTACGAACAGGATCTGAGGCATAACGCTGCACTCATAATTCTGGGACCCCATCACAACCTCCAGCTGAACAAGCCTGATGGCTGTTCAGGTCCTCTATCATAACTCAATCCAAGCGAAGTTGATTCCTCCAAGGAGGCCGTGCCAAGCCGCAACATAGGATTTCCACTCCCTCACAAACATTTGCCGCTGTGAGTCAGTGACCTCTTGGCAGGATGACTGGCGTGCAAGGTCTACCGCAAGTCAACATGAAACCGTGTGACCCCTGTCCACTGTGTGGCCTGGGGTTTGGCATGCAGCCTGAACTCCTTCCTCGCATAGGTATCGCCCAAACTGCGCATCTGCGAGTCCAGCTTCAGACGGTGAAGTCTCATGATGGTCCTGAAATGTAACACACTGGAACAATAAAACAGGTGACAGGAGATAAAGCAAACCCTGAACTACTAAGCCTGCTATTCTCTGTCAATGCTGCAAATCACAAGCCGCAGCTCCGATACAAGGTCTTGCTCTCGCCGATCAATTTTGCACTCATGGTGCCCTCAGCCATCAACATGCAATAACATGTATCTTGATGGCATTTCTCAAGCTGACCACTGTTGCCACCAAGTGGCAGTAGGACCCAGCAAAAATCCAACCAGTGCTGAAAGACTCTCGAGCCACAAAAAGCCACCGAACGGTTCTTGCTTCAGCAGCTTGATGACAAGGCAGCTCGGGCACCCGCGTTGGCCAAGCCCTGCGCAGTGGATTGAGGTAGAGTCCGCTCAACCTTCTGCAAGAGCGTTGCGAATCACCTCAGAAGTTGCAGGAGGGTGGTAGCTGCTGGAACGGCAGCAGTGCATCCCAAGCATTGTGGGCTCTCAGGGTCTGTTTTCACAGTAATGGCAAGGTAGCAAGCACGGTGCAAAATGCATGTGCTGCTGCAATGAATACCTATCAACCGAGCATCAAGGCACATACTGCTGCAGCAGCGCACATGCAACGAAAATCATCCATCCAAATTCGCTGCTATCTTACAAAGCATCTCTTGCTGTTTCCAGCACAGAGATAGAAATCCTCAACTATGTGCAGGTAGAACAAGGTGGAACCTCGCAGTGGTGGCAGACGCGGGAGCTTGACTGTCAACTCTGCCTTTGCCTGAATGCTGCATGACATCTGAGGCTAATACGAGTCTGGGAGAAGGATTGACATCATGGCCTGTCAAGCAATTACAATGTCTTCTTGCCGAGGCGCAAGGGCAAGAAGGGCACCTCCAAGCTAAGACCTTCAGCGTGACCTCCGCGCCTGCATTTCGGACCTCCGGCCATGCTTGAATGGAAGGTGTTCCGACAAATGTGACCCAACCTTGTCCATCAGCGCTGCCCCAACTCCCTCAAAGCCATCAACGCCAATGATTCGATCCGATTGCTGGATCTGTCGCCTCAACTTCACTTTGGACATGACGTCTGCGCTGCACATTGTACAGCGAGGTTCCTGTGGCACCGCCCACTCTTCCAAACCCGCTGTTGGCTGCCCTCATGGGAGGATGCAACTCGTGAGCATCCCGAGACGGGAGCCCCGACAACGAAGCTTCAAAAAGCGAGGAAGGGTTCTGCATTTCGCCAAAATGAGGCTGCATAAGCAACGATAGTTGTGCCTCTTGCGACAACGAAACTTCAAAGCAACGACGGCTCTATATTTTGCGAGTTGAAGCTTTAAAAGCAACGACCAGAGAGGGACAACAACAGTTCCACATTTCGGGATGTGAACACCTTAAAATGACGAAACTGATGGCAAACGTAAACAGCCCTCCTGCCGCACACTGATACTGATGACAATCATGGTCATGAAAACAGCAAACGTACTGAGCGTGGCAAAGGAGAGTTCATCGCAAATGCTGCCAGTCAAAAAATCATGTAGCATGACGGATGGTGTGCCAAGACTGGCACGAGTGCGTTCACGATAGGTTGGGCATACACATACAAGAAATGCTGACAACTCGTGCACAAATAACGAGTCTAACCATGATGATTTACTCCACCCGGTGCGGACCACGCTAGGTCCGCTGGGTGGTGACAATGGCGTTCCCTCCCGCATAATTAAGCTCATCAGGACGAAGATGAAGATGATGAATCTCGAAAACCAACGCCAATTGATGCGAGTGCTGATGCATGCGCAGACGAACACGGGATGACGAGAAACGTGCTTTGCATCCTTTCGATCAAAACTACGAGAGGCAAAAACATGTGAAGATAAGGTGGGTGATGAGGATGATGCTGACAGTGATGGTTCTGATTACGATGATGGTTTGAAATGTTGATGATGGTGATGCTGGATGAATGGATGATGATGATGAGGATGGGGAAGATGGCGATGACAATGATAGCAATGACTAGAGCGACTTGCATGCTACGAGATGGTCATAGATGCTTGATTTTAATTTTACAATTGTGTGGCTCATCATGGCACATGATGAGGAAAGCCTTTGCCGTGACCACCTGCCCAGGGCTCTAGCTTGTTCTCCAGCGTCAGCTTGACTTCAAGAAGGGGGCTTATGGAGGCTTCAAATCTCTCTGTCCTCCATTCCTTTACGCTTCCAACCTCGCATCCGAGTCGTTCTTGCCCTTCCTATTTTTTCTGTTGGAGACGGCCTGTGGTCAGATAAGGACAAAGCACAGCCAAGCCCTGAATCATCCAACTCGGTGCTCGCATCCATCTTGTTCATGTCTGCAGTTTTTGAAGGTGTGCAGGGGTTGGGGGCCCCAAGGAGTTGACGCGAATTCATTGTTCAGCGCGTGCATCCACGAGAATTCCGCGCGGGCTCTGGTGCCGTGAAAGATGCACATGATCGTTTCTTGCAGCATCGCAGGTCTTACGCCGCTGCAAGCTAAGAGGAGACTCTACACGAGGCATGTCATTGATGTGAAGGAGCATGTTTCGTGCTTGTACTCGGAAGGGGTCCCACCCATCTTCAGTCCAGACACTCAGTGGGAACGAACTTGTTGTAGTCCTGTTATCATTTTCCATTTTTCAGACACGGTCGTCAAAGATTCGCGCCAGGGAGAGCAGTCCTTGACCACCCCATCCTCCACTCCCAGGACCAACAGGAAATGAGGGCCATCTTTCAGATGCATGCCCAGGTTGAGGGCACCACGCTGAATCTTGACCTGCAGACAAGATGGATCAATGCCGTCCGGACATAACAAGAACTCAAGTCATGCTGAGACATTTTGCAGCCCTCCATCGCACCTCGCTTACGACAGCTCTCTGGAAGGTGAGCACCATCTTGTTGTGTGTCGACTTCAGTAGATCCAGGATCTCCTTGAGCTGCTCTCTCCCGCAAACGGCAAACGCAGCAGTGCAACTGAACATGAGCACAGGGGGAGCCGTTCTTGTGAACCACCTACCAAATCCTACCAACACGAGCTATATCCGGCCCCCCCTTTCGCATGCACGTGCGCCTTCCACCTTTAGAGGACAGGTGCGGAACCTATGCTGCAGTTCACTCCTTGCTTTTTTCGCTTGTCTGTCCGTTCACTGCATATAGCCGGTCGTACTTCTGCACCTGACCCAGCGAACATTGATGCCAGGATCTTCACAACAGCAACCAAGACAACCCGTTGGTGAGCGCTGCCTTGGTTTCTTCACTGCACTTGGCATTCCAGTCTGCGATGAGACCATCTGTGGTCACGCTGGTGACGACACATGCCTATCAAGTCGTGGTGCTAACGTTTAGCCTTAGAAAACTGCTCAGCTTCTGCATTCAGTCGGCAAGAAACAACAAATGAGGCGCTCTGGCAAGAGCTGAGGAGTCGGAGTCGGAAAGCAAGCAAGCCAATGCCTTTCCGGCGCTGGAAAGGTCCACGCCGAAGTATGTCCCAGGAGAACGATCAAGGAAGATGTCCTTTGATGCCCAACACTCTACAGCTCCAACACGTGAGGTGTTGGAAGGAGGAAGTGTCATCAGGTCAACTCGGAAAGAAAGCCTTGAGCCTGCAGCCTGGCGTCAAAGGTCTCTGGAGCACTTGGCGCAGTGCCCTGCGCAGAAGTCAAACACCATACAGTAAAACCAAGCTTGCCGTTGCCACCTTTCCCTCTGGGAAAGCACTGTCCATCTGCAGCTCCACAAAATCAGCTGGCCTCAAGTGGATTTTAATGTTTCAACGCACTGCCTCAAAATGCCACAGAGAATATCAAAAACCGCTTGCAGATGGAGACTAAACATCACAGCACAACTTGCCGAATTCTTTCAGGTGGCTTTTCATCTACACAACAGCAGGTAAACATTGTCAGCCTCAGCTCCACTCACCGACGCTGCGCGAAACTTTTGAAAGGCTGCTGAGAGGTCGCGGCCCTTGGCAAGAGCGCTCGAAGCCACGGCGTCAACTCTCCTCTAACGGAAGAGGCGTGCTTCTTGAGCCCAATGTCTGCAAGCTGCGTTGCGCTGGGCACTCTGCACTCTACAAGCTGACACGGCCAAGAAACCCTCGCGACACCCTGAGCTACTTGCGGGTCAGACACAGACACTGCGGTTCGCAATCTGGCGAGCTGCTGCAGCCTACCGAAAATTCAGGTCTAGGATCTTGACTCACTCCATCGCTGGACTTGGCTGGGCTTGTGGCGCTGTTGACAGATTAATGGCATCAAATTGGAGCAAATACACATTGCACAGCTCCAGAACCTCAAGCTTTCACGTGTCAATCTTGTGGCAGAAACTGCAGAAACTTGAAAGAAGCTTCGGCAAGTCTACCTAACTGGGCTTCTTGCGGCTTCTGCACTGTTGCCCGACAGTATCCTGGAATTCTGGTATCTAGCGTATCTGCGGAGATGCCAGCACACGTTTGTTCGAGTACGAAGGCCACGCCTTTAAGATCTTAAACGCGGAGGTGCTGAGTTGCTGCAGTTCTTCAAAACCCTACAGTCATGGCATTGCTTGACTAGCCGCAGTGGAAACGTCCCGGCGGCTTGATTCAAGCCACCATGCAAAGGGACGCATGCTGCTCCTCCAGACATTGAAGCTTGCACAGGGCGGCAACAAGGGCCCTTTGACGAGGACATGGCAAAAAAAAAGCATCTCCCCGCGCACAAGAATCCAGCCGAACACGTTGTTCACAGGTGATGCATTGCTGTGGAAACACAGCAGGTAAGACAACTCAAACAATTTTGCAATGCCAAACACAGGGTGTGGTCAGAGTCCACGTTCTACAGCAACATGCCGCTGCACAAGCTCGTCAAGTCCCAGACTGCTGATTGAGTTCACGGGCGCTGGCCTCCCAATAAACGCAAGCATTCTACAGTATGGATGCCAAGACTGGGAGAGGCCTTGCAGCTTTGGCTGCGTTGCTTGTTCGCTCGTCGCACGGACAAAGCTCAAATGCCTCAGGCTCTGTAAAAAACAAATCAACAAAGCTTACGCAAACGTACATGTTGGAGAGGGACTGAGGATCAGGAGACCCGGGAGCCCGGGGTGGCGAAGGCATCCGCCTAGTTTGCTAAAGCCGAGCATATCCATGGCATCGATTCCAATCCTTGCCTGCCAAATCCAGGGGCCGCAATGTGCCTCCGTTGCTACCTTCGCCTGAGGCACAACAAGCATGCTCGTATGCCTCTATGGGGGACAACCCATCCAGGCATCTCAAATGGCAAGGTGGATGGCATTTTCGGACAGCATATGCACAAGTGCAAGTCAGCCTAGCTCCCCTGCTTCTCCTAAGCGCTTGCCTGGCACGGCTACATCCAAGCTACAGTGTAACTGCTACACTGTCTGCCTGTATTGCTTGGGAGCTAGGCAGTGAGATCATGCTTGCCCTCCATGCGGCACAGTCAAAGTGAAACTGGAGTTTTGCAGGTGCGTCAGCCGATTGCCGTCTTCGCCACCCTGCCAAGGCCTCTCCACTGAACACAGATACAGCCCGACAAAGCTCACATTGTTCAGCGCAACTTTCTAGAACAGGTTCACCTTCTGCGGCTCCTTGGCCAAACAATCTTCCACATGCAACCTCACTACCCGCCATATTGGAAATTGCCACAACGGCTTATGTGAGATGCACCGTTGACCATACACATGCGACGTCAAGCCTTATCACCTGCATGCCTGATGATGATTCAAGTACAAATGACAACGTCTGCCAGATCTCGGCCTGCATCTACGACGCTTGGAAATCATCATCGAGCTCTTCCAGTGCAGGCCCCTCATATTCCTCTGCAGTTGCAGAGCGCGGCTGTCTACAGCCACAGCGCCATGCACATTGAAAAGGCAAACGTGACACGCTCTCTCCTCGCCAGCTTCTTCCTTCTGTTTGTTGAACTCTGCCTTCTTCCCAAGATCAGGCTACTAGTTGGGCAGTGTTGAAACCCATCACTGAAATTTTGCCTTCCGGAGTTCCAGGTCCGCCGTGCGATAAGCGCATCCAGCCTACAATTCATGCTCGCACTCAGCAACATCATGTGAGGTTCCCTGCGCGAGGGACTGAGGGGGGAACCTGCAACAAGTTGAAGAGAAGGAAGAATGCTGGTGCAATCTCCTGCCCCAACAAAGAACAACAACCGCCACAACAGGTGTCCACAAGAGTTCGTCCTTAGCCTTTTCACCATCCATCTCTGCTGGAGACCCCATCTGCATAATGTAGGCGTGCAGATGCTCCGGAAGAACGCCTTTCCTGCCACAGCCAAGGATTTGTTGCTGAAAAATGACAATTTCTCCGGCCTGGGGCCCTCGACTTCCACCTTGCCAACCTTTTCCAGCAACTGCAGCGGGTTCTGGAGTAATTGCTTCAGGCGCTGCCAGTTCAAGTTTGATTTCCTCCTGCCAAGTATCGAAGCGGACATGCAAATTCGCGCCCAGCAGGGTTAGGAGGTTGCATGCCAGGTCTGAGGCGCCTCAGCTTATCAGCCCAAGAACACCCGAGAGAAAACGAAAAAGCAAAAAGCCAAAGACCCATTCCTTGGGTAGATGTCTGCTTTGGTGTAGCCAGCGAAGTGAGCTAGAGCCTCAGCTCGCTTCGCTTGCCAACAATATGAAACCACAGCTCCTGTGTTAGCCACGCTGCTGCCACCACATTCATGACATCTGCCGTGGCATAGACCCAAGATGTCAAACTTGCGATCATGCCGGAAAGCTCTTTTGCAACCTCATCAAAACAGTTGACTCGAGCATGTCTCTCTTAGAACCCATCCGACCATGCAAAGACCGCACCCCTCCTCCAAAGCACGCAGGAAGGCAAACTTCTTCTGAATCACTTCCTGGAAGGATCATGTGTCCAAGCCAGATTGAGGAATAAACGCTTCTCGGTTTTGCTGGCAGTCCTTCCGAAGCTCATCTGTTGCTTCAGCCTCCTCAGCCTCTATCTGCTCTGCGTGCATTTGCTCGACGGTGCCATCCACTTCGGTAATCTGCCACACAAGAACTATATGCAGTCAGGTCTTGGTTACAAGCTGGCCATGTTTCGCTTAAAGTTTTCCCCCTTCGCTGAACTCTGGGCTGGAGATCTTCCGAATTGGGCAAAGCGCTATACTGGAAACACACGAGATCTGACTCAGGCAGCTTGTTTTGCGGTGATGAAACGCTACACTAATGAGAGCAGATAGCTCTTGCCACGAGCAATGGCCGCCAGCCACTGAGACTTGTCGACCATGCCGCACCATAGTAAAGGCCAGAAATGTTGGAACATGAGCACCCCTCCCTTGAGACCTGGTGTTCTCTATCGCTCTTCCCCAAAAGCCGCACAGGAAGCCGAAATGCTCCCCTGTAAGGGCGCGCCCCCTAGCCGTAACCCAGTGCAGGTCCGGTTGTGGGAGGTCGGCACTGGGACGCACCATTAAAATTGGAAGCTGCGCAAACACACAAACCCAGCAACCATTGCCTCTCAAGGGTGAACGAGGCTCTGCATTGGGGGACGGCAGTAGCTGCAGGTCCCAGAGTCCAACCTCTCTCTATTTGTTTTTGTTTTTCCTTTCTTCTTTTGCTTCTGCTTCTTGTTTTACGGGCTGTGCCCCCATTTCTAGGGAGGACGCTGGGTGCAACCCCATAGCCATGAGTCAGTACTCGCATGGATCGCAGTGCTGGTAAGTCAGAATTCCCGTGCCAACAAACCACCATATGAGCTATAGTCTAAACTCCTTGTATCCCCCTGGATAAGCCCTATACTACTCCGCATATAATCCCCTATAGCCCCCTCTTAAGGAGTTTAGACTATTGCTCATCTGGAACACTGCACAATATCAGGGCGACTGCGACGTGGTCGCCCAATTTGTTTTCCTCCCTCCCTAGCGTGCTGTGACGCTTCTCGTCCCTGATCGGATTTCATCACAATGCTAAGACATGCAAAATCTGTCCATGCCCGCACCTCCACCCTAACTGCACGGCAGACGTGCCTTGCCACACATGCCAAAAGATGCCTTGCAGTCGTCACTTTCACCCACGGTTGGGTGGGTGAGGCACTATAGGGAGAAGACCTCAGGCCAAAATTCGAGGTTTCGGGCTCTGGCGGAGAATCACCTTTGTCATGTCCCCCCCTCCGCCCTACAAATTTACGTCATGTCTGTCACTGCCTGCGGCAATTTTCAGACATGCAAAATCTGTCCATGCCCGCACCTCCACCCTAACTGCACAGCAGACGTGCCTTTTTGTCCAGTAGCGGTCAAATGCATCCGGGTGCCACAAATGCCAAAAGATGCCTTGCGCCACTTTCTGGGTGGGTGGGACATTATAGGGAGAAGACCTCAGGCCAAAATTCGAGCTTTCGGGCTCTGGCGAAGAATCACCTTTGTCATGTCCCCCCCTCCGCCCTACAAATTTACGTCATGTCTGTCACTGCCTGCTGCAATTTTCAGACATGCAAAATCTGTCCATGCCCGCACCTCCACCCTAACTGCACAGCAGACGTGCCTTTTTGTCCAGTAGCGGTGAGATGCATCCGGGCGCCACGCATGCCAAAGGATGCCTTGCAGTCCACTTTCACCCCACTGGCTTGCCGCGACCCGGCATCCAGCACTTCTTGCATTTTGCCGCATTTCTGGTGGGTGAAAGGGCAAAGTGTCCTGCCCTTGCGAGGGGCCAGCCGCACGTTGTATTCCACGTGGCAGAAGAGACGTCTGCAGCGCTTTTGAGCTTCCAAGCACTCTGACCCACTTGGCCGTCTCCAAGTATCCAAGCCAAGAAGCTGGGCCGGGTCGTTGCCGGCCGTGAAAGCTGCACAAGATGTCTGGGAGGAGCAGGAGTGGTTGGCACTGAAGTATCCACGGTCTTGGACTTGTCGGTAGCCTTCAAGGTCGGCAGGCGCTCCGAAACGCCGGGACGTTTTGCGGAGGCCCTTGAGCCGGTGTTCAGCGGAGTGGTGGCCGACGCTTCTTCGGCGTACTGGAAAACCAAGAAGGAGTGCCGCCTGCCAAGACAGGTGATCTCGTGAACGCACACCCCCATGCGGGTATAGTGCACCGACACTCACCGGCGTCCTGAATGGCCGCTGACTGGCAGCCTCTGCGCGGCGTTGGCCCACGACCAGACAAGGGCGTCTCCACTGGACAGGTAGCCTTGGATTGTTTGCATGTGCACCCCAACGGAGTGATGCCCCTGCCGTCCTGAGAGGGCCACGGCACTCTTGTTCGCGAAGATAATGATGTCGCTGGCTTTCAGCTCCTCCAACTCGATTCTTCTCAGCATGAAGATGAAGGCCCGGGCGTACAAGAGGTAAAGCGTTGAAGTCGGGGGTGTCCTGACTCTTCCTCTCGGTTCTCGGACGTTTCGAGGCAGTGGGGTCCGCACCCTCCTCTGTGGCTGGATGTAGGTCCTGAGCACGAGGGCCCCGACCTTGATGAGCCTGCTGACGCTGGGGACCTCGCTCTCGGAATTCTTGACCTTGGTCTCGAACATCTTGACGAAGCCAGGCGCCGGTGCTCATCGCCCTTTGCCACGCCAACCTGACTCGTCGCGAGAGCACTTGGCCTGCGCGCCACGCCAGCCACACCACGGCACATGACAAGGTGACCAGGGTGCACAGGATGCACGCCCAAACAAGGAGCCATGACTGTGAGTGGCTGCCTTGGTCGGCCACAACGGCCTTGTTGGTCCTGCGAAGCTGGACCTCCATGACTAGCTGGTGACTAGCTGTGGGCCTGGGAAGACATGTGTGCCAAGTCAAGGTGTGTGCAAGCCCACGCAAAACAGACATGACAGCAGAGCATGAGCATGGTACAACTGCAGCTGCGACAACTACTCCTACATGTTGCACCGAATCAGAGTTATCCTCGGACAGCTGGCCAGGCTTCCGCTAGCTTCATGCGAGGCACGACCCAACAAGAGCAAAAAATCCTTTAAAGGCGGCTTCCCGGGATTCCTGCACTTAATGCCCTGCACTTCTTTGGGCAGCTCGCCCCTGGCGCGCGGCCTTGAAAAAAGTCAGCCGCCACATTGGTTTCCCTGGGGTGTGCTTCAGGAGAACTTCCGCCACCTTCAGCATTTCGAGCAGCAGCGTGATCTGCGTGATCGCAAGCGAGTTGAGGGAGGAGTCGAGGACGAGGCCTTTTCGACGATGGCCAACGCCACCGTCGAATCTGGGCGAATGCCCAAACCCATCGGCACCCCGGCTATGACTTTTGCCCAGGTCTTCAGGGCCAGGAAGATTGCCAGCGCTTCCGGACTTGCACGACATGACCTCGAACCCCAAGAGCCTAGCACCCCGTGTCTACTTGGTACTCGTAGGCTTGCAGGGCCTTCTGCTCGGCGCCCTCCTTTGGCACGAACAAGAAGGACACCTCCGCATATTTGAGGTGACGCGTCAGTCACGATCATGAGCGATTCGGTCGGCTGCCAAAGAAACTTTTTGGTAGCAAGAACTGGCTGCCTGAACAATGCGACCAACCACACTCTCGCGCGCTCGACTCTCTTGACCGGGATCAAGTGGTCCGCCTTCTTGCGTCCCCACGTTTGGCTCGGCGCGAAGCTTCCATGCCATCCGCGACCTCGGCCAGGTGCTGCGGGAGTGCCCTGTAGCTGACAGAGATGGTCCATCGGGCACGCCTGTAGATACTCGTGGCCCAATACAGCTTGCCTGCAAGGGTTCGAAGTTCGGAGGTAGCGATCATCCCCGACTTGCCGCACTTGTGAAACATCTCCACCATCTCTTCATTCGTCCTGTTGGGCACTTCGTTGTAGAAGACACCCTCTACCCATCGAAGCGAGAACTTGACACCTATCCACAAAATTCGGCGCCTCTGTCACTCTGTCGCCTTTGCCCCAGGACATCTGAACGCCTAGGACGGCCAAAGTAAGAAGTGCCAAAGACAGGTTCCTCACCCTTCTTGACCTTGACTCACCGCCTCAAGCCCGAAGTGGCCCCTCAACACGAGCGCCAATTCCTTGGCGAAGTCCTTGGTCCCACACTTGGCTGCGGCTTGAGTTGCGTGGGGGTGCGTCTCGGCGAAGCTGCCGAACAGGTTCGAAATCTCCTGCCCCACTGTCCTGGCCGCTGGAATTCTCTCCAACGCCCACGCCAAACACCAAAGGCCGCCAACCTTCGCGTCCATGTTTTCCCGAGCCGCGCGCAGACGCTTGCGCCGCTTTCTAATCACCACCCCCTTGTGAATAAAGGGGGGGGCACAGGCCTTGAAACATTTCAGGGCAGAGGTCCGCTAACTACGCCGGCTTAGCCGGGGGGGAGGTCTGAAATTTCAGAGTTAGGAGGCCTTGACGCAGTGTTTTCACCTGGTCCATGGCCATTTCAGAGTGTCGTCTATCTCCTCTTTTTCTTCATTTGGAAGTACCAGACAGTCAACATGCCTTAGGGGTGCGCAGGTTTGTACACTGTTCGTGTGCGACGCAGTAGTGCAACGACATAGCGTATGTCGCGTGAACCAAGCCTTTACAGCAGTGGAACGGTGACCATGGCACCAAGGCGTCGGTATTTTGCTTTGTGCCTTGGCATTCTTCAGGCCGAACTGTACACTTTTACAAGAAAACCCTCAATTGGGCCATGCATTTCCTATGTCCCTGGCCGCCGAGCCACCACAACCCGTTCCCCCCCAAAGTACTTCCAGGTGAAGAGTAGAGGAGGCAGCAGCAGCAGCAGCACGGACTTCTAGTACCCCCCCCTTAATTTTTTTGTACCTCCCCACCACCCAGGCCCCATTCCATTTCAACTTGAAATCAAGTAAGCTCCTGAATGGAGGGGGGGGTGGCATACACTTCGCTGTCTTCAACACCTGCCGCCAACCCAGGCCTCGGCGAGCCTCAGTTCTTCAAGCTTCAGCACTTTGCGGGGAGGCTCGAGGGATTATCAGAACTGTCGTGCACCTGTCAATGCGGCCCAGGAGCACCTCACCCAAAAGTGCTTGGGAAAGGAGATGTCTGGTCTTTCCGCCGAATATCCGCGAGCCTGGCGCACGGCCACGCCAGGTTGGTGGTCAGAACGGGAGGGTTCTCGATGGTCGCCGGGCGTTCAAACCGTCTGCCTCGCTCGCCTGCTCCCTCGCCTCCATGACACTGACCGACTGACTATTGCTTGGCAACCCATAGACGTGTTGCCGTGTTGCCGAGTTCTGACTGGGCCAGGCATTCCGTCCATGGGGCGGGCGCCAACGCAATTGTGTGAACGTAGTGCACGAGAAACCCGAATGCGCTGCAGCGAACTCGCCCTCAACGGCTCTTTTGCTCACGCTAGACAAAGCCCCTGGAGCAGCAAGATCTTGGCCTCGAGCCAGATCGTGTGTTTCCACTTCCACGTGGAGGCCAGCAGCTTTTGCCTCCTTCCTGACGGCTTCGCCAAGACGGTCTTCTTGCCACAGAAAAGGTAAGGAACACAAGCATGACTGGGCACGCTGTCTGATTCAGGGCTTGGTGGCCTGGCAAACCCTTGAAGTGGCCTGAGCCCACGCTGTCGTCACGCCGGAGAGGCTCCCGACAACATGAAGCACGCAAAGTCGTTACGCATAAGCCCCCGACAGAAAGCATGCAACACAAAAACATAAGCGCAACCGACATGCTGGGCTCCCGGTGCAACATGCTCTCAGACCTTTCAACCCTTCTTCTGCGGGCAATTGTCGCTCGTCGCTCTTATGTCCAGGTGAAAGGCAGATCCTACACTTGTGAGCCCGCTTGACTTTGCCAGGGCACTGCTCACCTGGAGGACATGCTGCGCAAGGACCACCACTGGAGTCCCAAAAAAAAAGCACAACTCAGAGCCGCCTTGCTCATGCGTCTTCAGGCCTCCAGCGTTCTTGCCAGCGCCCTTGCTGCCCGTGGCCGTAGAAAGATGCCGAGGCTGCTGCCGCGCCGTGTTGGCTGCCCCGTCTCTTCTTGGCTTGGCGCTTCTCCTTGCTGGATCTCCGAGCGATGAACCCCGAATCTCGGCCCCTCCCTGGATGTTCTCCAACGCAAAAGACTGCTTCGGGGATCTGGGTGTGCTTCTCGCCCTGTGAGCTATCCACGCACTGGCCGGGGTCTTGACCTGCTCGTCCCAAAAAGCGTTGTCCACAACCAGGAGGTGCATGCATGCCGATCTGGAGGAGACCTTGTAGCGTACGCGAGCCTCTCTCCTCGCACCCGCTCGTCTGCCAACACGATCAGATGCCAGGCACCCGGGTAAAGTCTTACGAGGCGTTCTATGTGTCTTTCATACAACCTGCAAAATGGACAACGGAAGCAAATCTCACATTATAGCAGCTGACCGGAATCCTCCAAGAGGCAAGCCACTGATTCCAGCAAAAAGGGCCCGGGAGTTTTTTGGCCTAATATCCACCTGCCCCGTCTGGGATCCAAGTGCGGCACTTCGAAGTTCGCAGCGCCCTGCGTCCATAAGGACGTCAGATGCGTAAGTCAACAAAGGGGGCCAGCTCCAAAGTTTGCACTCTTTTCGATAGTGCACGGCGTCGTCGGTTTGGTCGATGACTGCGCTCATCTTTATCCCCCGCTCCTTGGGGCCATAAACCGCTGCAGACGTAGGAGGCACAGAAGCAGCGGGGCTTGTTCTCTGAGATCTCTGAGCCCATGGGTCTTCGTCTACCCACTCTGTCCAGTTTCCTCCACCACAGGTCCAGGCGATCCTTCTACACTACACAGCCGCCAGGTCAGCCCAATTTGAACGGCTTGAGCCAGATTGAGTGTCCTTTCTCCTGGCATACGGACGCACATTGCGTTCTCCACCACAGCTTCTGGAGGGACCACGCTCAGAACACGCATGTCAGGTCGGCCTGCCACGCCAGGCTGCCTATGGTTCATCTGGTAGCCCATACCGTCGCCGCACTGCCTCCACATCAAGCAGCTGCAACTCATCGGCCTCACTGGGAAACAGGCTCATGGCGTTCGCGGCTACATTCAGGCTAAGGCCTCAGGCCAAAATTCGAGCGTCGGGGCTCTGGCGAGGAATCACCTTTGTCATGTCCTTCCCTCAAATTTAAGTCACGTCTGTCACTGCCTGCGGCAGTTCTCGGTAAGTGCTGCTGGTTTCCTTCCCTTCCGAACCTACAGGGACTTCCGTGAAACGCGCTCCCGGCTTGCCTTCTACAATGTCTAGACTGCGTGGATCCCCAGGCCTTCTTCGTTGTGCTGAAAATCCTTTTGTTACACTGTCCTGGACTCGTGGGGATACGTGTAGCACACAACATATGTCCTTTACTTAAGGCTCCTACCCCAAAGATGACACGACGTGATCCCAGCATCGTTTTTCAAGGTTTTGAATTGTTGCTTTCTGCTGCCCACTGGGTTTCGGGTTAATCCAGGACTTCGCGCTTGGCTCGGGTAGACTTTCCACTCTTTCGTTCGAGCGATGAGATGCACCGAGACCCATCCCTGGGATCCCTCTCACGCCTGTGTTCGGCCTCGCTGTAGCATAGGTTCACACGGGCACGGACATCTTTCAACAAAGTTTGACCCAACAGGGAATCACTGCTTGGCCCTCCCTCCGTACACCACTGGATCTCTGTATAGTTGTGGGGGTTGGCCCTTACCACCTGGTGTATGCAAATGTCTTTCTGACTGATCCTAGTCTGAATTGGGAGGTTCAGCCTTACAAGTCCTACAAGTTACATGTCCACCTCTGCTCCCTCAATTCAATGGGGCTACCTATGGAAGGGTGAGAAGTACGTTGGGTTAGATGGTGAATGTGGCTGAGACTTCTTCTTCTTCTCACTGCTCTACCCCTCTCGAAAGAGGGGCTGGGGTAAAACCCCAAGCAGGATGACGGTCCAGGCACGAAAGCCGTGGCAGGTCCCGGTTAACGGAAGTACACTGGTACCCAAGACAAGTTGCACGTATGAAAGCCCCGATCGCCAACAGGCTGAGACTCTCTATCTCTGTCTCTGAGACCCTGCTAGCGGAAAAAATGTTTGTCCATGTTCCAACTTTTTGACCTTCACCGTGGAGGTGGATGCATCGAGCGACTCTTGGCAATTCGTTGATGGTCAACTGTTTCTTGCGGCTTTTCCTGCCTTTTGTTTCCAAACCTTCCGACTGGATCCGACTAGATTCTTATGGTTTGCTGTCGCTCCGCGCATTTCTTCTGACAGTTGGCACTCCAGACGTCAAGCAGCCAGCAACTCGGCCTGCTCATTCTCTTGGGCACGTCGCTCATCGTCGATGACCGTCAGGACTTGAGAATCAACCTGACTGCTCAACGTAGCCTTTTCTTGATTCCTCCGGTTTGGTCCCACACCTGCTTAAACTCTGTCTTGGACTTTGACTGGCAGCAGGCCTAGCACAAGAGGAGGCCAGCTCTCTATTCACGGGAGGCCTTTTCATCTTGTCAACCTTGGCCAGCTCGAGGACCTTTACCGCATTGCCCTCCTCAAAGGAGCTGTTCGTGCCTGCTGTTCACCAGCACCATGTGATATATCGACTCAAAAACATACTTGAAGATCCTTGCCTAGCGTGTCCAAGCAAAGAATCATCTTCACGTCGTTTCCACGCATGACCAACTGCTTCTCCTTACTGTACATTGCGGCGAGGCTATCTCCATCAGCAAGCTGCATATGCCATCCCTTGCAGCAATCCTCCACGGCTTCAGGCTCGGCATCCTCTAGAACTTCGCCATTCGCAATTGCTGCAGCTCTAGCGGCCGCCTCTTCTTCACGCCTGACAGAGCAAAACTTCGCTGCCGCAACCTGGCTACAGCTGCCACATGCTACCACAGCTTGGCCTTTTTGCTTCTGCCTTCTTCTCTTCCTCAAATGTCTTCGCATCAGTATAGGCATCACCTGGCTCGACGAGACCCAATCGTCAAGTCATAACAAAGCGGTCATAGATCAGTCCGGGTGGCTCTGGTAGTAGGACTGGTACACCATTGGTATGGCTAAGAAAGCTCCAAGGCGTGTCATGTCAAAGTAATGGACTTTCTCCACATCGGTCACCTTGCACATTCAGCGTGCAAAAGAACATGCTACACAAAACTCCTCCGAACAGGCCGAGGGCACGCAATCAATGCTTACAGGGTAGTATGGCGTGCCCGGCTTCTCTGCAGGTGGCTCTCCTCACAATTCCACAAACTATAAGCAATGGTCCGACAGACACTTGCCAGCAAGGACAGGGCAAGGCACTGCGGATGCTGATCTTTGAATCTTATTGCGTGGGGCGGTCAGCCAAAACACCAAAACTGGATGTGAAACGGCAAGCCCTGGCTGGGATGTGCAGCACTTGTGAGGTGCGAAGCCAAGCCCAATCCAAAACCACGCTACAAGTATGCCACATTTGGCAAGCGAGTCTAAGCTTAAACAATTTGGGGTGGCAACTCCCTCTACGCACGCAGCATCTGCATGTATCGAGGGAGGACCGATCCCCGAAAATGCTCAGCACGAAACTTGTTCGCCACAGTTTCTCGCAGCTCGTCGTCCTTGATAGCCCCGCAGGCTGCCGCTTTCCTCAAAGGCTTGACAAATTCGTATGAGTTTGGGCTAGAAACAAGTCGGCCAAAGGTTATCTGCTAGAAGCAAAACCAAGATCTGCTTGACACACCTTGATGCGGCGCTTGTCTGTGGCTTTGCTGATGATCGTTTTATGCCTTTGGTGTTTGCTCTGCGTATGCTTAAGGAACGGTGCCTGCATCCAAAAGCTGAATGTTGCTGCATTGATGGCTGCTGAAAGAATGCCGATCACATACAGCAGTGACAGCCGCGAGGTCCAAACCTATCCGACAAGGCTTGACTCCAGAAAGAGACACTGATGTGGCAGGGAAAGTGAGAACCTGCACGAGCGAAGGAGTCTGAATGCTTTGTCAGGATTGCTTGGACGCAGCCTGTGAAGTACCGCATCCAATTCGCACGCTACATTGTAGCATCCATAATGCTTGGCACCCAAAAGGAAAGCAAAACAAAACCATTGTAGCCAGGATGCTCTTCGTCGGAGATTTTGAGCCCTGCATATGTCGAAAGCAAGGATCTGGTGACGCCGTCCGTTGCTAAATCTGCAGCGATTCCTCCGGACAATGACCTCCTTAGGAAAGCAAGCCACCCTCACTGGCGGCAGAAACAAGCAGAATGTCGGGGTGTTTGGCTGCATCCCTTTGCTTTTTTTCTGAAAATCAAGCATCTTCTCCGGATCGGCTCTCTTCACCAACAAAGCCGCCACAACATCCACGGATCCAGCAGAAGCGGCTTCAAAGAGTGGGGTCTCACCCAGCTCATCACCTGCAGAAGTCTTTCAAGGCTCTCCCGCTCTGAGATATCTGTACTGCCATATATGACTTCTGATTCTGAACATCCATGCTAAGCCTGCTAAGCACTGGACCAATGTTTGGATTGTGGCCACAGTCAAGGAGCCGCAGAACTTCCTCCACGTCACCATTCCGAGAGGCACATGCCAGTGGATCTTGGTTCAAGTCCTGCATCTTGCTCACTCACAATCATTGAGACCACATTGCATGATTTCACACTTCCTGCAAATGTGTGAATGTCCACTGCCTCTAGAGTCAGAAATCTGACTCCTCCTTTGGCATCTCTCCAGGCCAACTTTACACAAAGAACAGAAGCAAGCCCTGATGTGATTCGTGGCTTTAGAACTGGAATGTTTGAAAGCTGGCAGGCTTACTGTAGATCACTGCAGGCTCTCCTTTGCGGCCATGGCATCCCGAGCTCGTTTGACTTCAGGTGGCAGGGGTGGCAAAGGCCTTTGACGATTTACAGCTGCAGCTTCCTCCGGCAACTCTTCTGCTGGCCGCAGGCCACGGCGATTTGCTGCCCTCTCGGACATCGCGTGTCCGATTGCGGTGTGCAATGAGTCGCTCAAGCAATCCAGCAACTTTGACCTCTCCAGCTCTTCGAGTTCTTGACCAGCAAAGAAGCTCAACAAGCTCCGAGTCTCACCGCAAGCCGCCACATCCCAAGGAGTGACGCCATGAATTGACTTTGTCAAAGGTTCTGCATTGCACAGAAGCAGTGTTGCTACAATGTCTGGTGAACCAAGTGAGGCAGCTGTGAAGAGCGGCGTTTCCCCCTTCTTGTCATACTCGTTAGGTTCTGCACGGGCCTTCAGAAGGTTGGTAACTTCCTCTAAATCATCTGCAGCGGCAGCACGCCCGAGCAAGGATGCATGTGCACGGAGGCCCCCGGTTTGCTTACCGGTTACTGGAGCTTCTCGTTTTGCAGCATGTATTTCGCCGGCAAATTGCTTCTGGCTGCCCAAGCCAATGGCATTGGCACTTGACTTCCTCTCTGCATCTGCGGTGTAGCCAGGACGGCTGGCGGCACCGTTCTTCACGGGCATACCCGAAGGACCAGGGCCTGAGACCGAACGTACCCCACCCGCATATCCGCCGCCGGCCCTGTGTTGGGCAGATCCGTTGCCCAGGGATCCGCAAGCAGCAGGTGCTGGGGCCCTTTGGGCTGGGCTGGGTTTGGGCAGGGTAGCCGCTGGAGGCACTGGGGCCGCTGGAGGTGCCGCAGCCTGGGCCAGGCTCATCAGGTTTTGGGCAACTTGCGGCCGCAGCAACGGATCCACTGCGTTGACCAGCTTGGGTAGCTCTCCCGGCCCAGGCGCGCGACCACCGAACAGCTCTAAGAGCTGCTGGACAGGAGATCCGGGCACCGCTGTGCGGGAAAAGGTTCGAGCTTCAGCACCATGCAGGAGAAGGGCAGCACATACATCCAAAGAATTGGAAGCCACAGCTCCCTCCATAGGCAGTGTGCCGAGGCCACCTTAGCTGCAAAATTTCCTCCATCTCATTCAGCAAACTACACGCGACAATGGCTTCTAGGGCTCCTAGAGGCAAGAACGAAGGAATTCGTCCGGAAACTGTACAAAACAAGCCGCTCTCAGCATTTGGGTCCACGCCCATTTGGAGCGCGCGCATAACGGCCATCAAGCTTCCGGAGCGCGCAGCCTTCACTAGCTCTTCGCTAGGATCCTTCCTTGGTCTTAGGATGTCTCACGAGGCTGAAGTCTAGGATTCTCAAGAAGAATGAAGGGACCGGCCACCACCAGCTTGGGGAAGTTGCCTGTTTTGCATGCACCTGCTTGCTGCCATGCTGCTTTGCAGCTGCGCGCTTGGCCTGAACAGGTCCTGCAGCAAATTAGCCCAGTCATCGCGGATCTATTTCCGACTACATGGAGTATTCCTTGCAGGGCCTGCAGTGGTGGTGCCTTTTGACCGCTCGCTGCGTCGCCGCTCCGCACGCTCGGCTGGAGTCTCTGACTTCTTGATGCTGGGTTGGCTTTCGCGCTCAGCCTGGCATGGCCACGCAAACCCAAACTCTCACGATTGGCAGGAGCACCCGCCTCTGCCTGCACCTGCAAAGCTGCCTTGTTGGGCCCGCCCAGTTGCTCTGGGACTTCATCCCAGTCGAACATGTGATCCAGAACTACGTCTAGCTCTCACTTCTGCTTCAGCAACCGAGTGGGCTTCAATCTAGCACGCTGGGCTTGATACTGGTAGGTCTTGGATTCCAACATGTTTCTCGGAGGCGGCACTTGTGGTTCTTACTTTCTAGCTCTAAGCCTTGGAGATCATGGGCCGTTCTGGCTGCAGCTAGACTTGCAAATGGGATAAGCGGCGAGCGTCGCATCTGCTAGACATCTGCATCCATGCACTATCAGCACCACCAAGGAAGGCACCGTCAGCAAGTTCTTCAGGCACTGGCTCCACGCTGGGCGGCTTCCACAAGCAAAGCTCCTGAAGTCTGCAGTGTCAGGGCGCGCTAACTCGGACTTTCATGCGGAGCGGGTTCTCCTTGAAATTCTCTTCTGGTGGATTTTCCGTGAGTGCACCCCATGCAACACCTGCTTACCACAATGACGATTTGCTCCCCAGCTTACACAAGCAATCTAGGATGTGCCTTTGCCCTCTGCAAGAGTTCGCTCTGTCATCCACTCCGATCCCTTGGACGCATACTCATAACCTGAGGTAGAAAGCGTGGCAAACATGAAATCTCAACCTGAATTGGACTGTCAACTGCAAAGCCAAGTCGCTGATGTACGGACCCGCCGGATCTCCACCCTGGGCCGGTACACCACACGAGCATCCCAAATTAAATGTACCCATTTCCTGTCCTCTTCTCCCTGCTCAAGGATTCCCAGATACACGGCAGAAGCACCCGCGGTTGCTTGTGCAACATCGACTAGCTCTTGCCACATTGTGTCCTGCACCCAGTATGTGATTATGATCGCAACTCAAACATGTTAGGATGCTCTTTTCCTGGAACATGGTCTCGTCACTGCCGAACTTCTCGAAGAGGGAAGTATATTTGGCTTCTAGCTGCTGGGATTCGGACACCTTCTGCTGCCTCAAATGGCAGGGCAGGAAAAGGGAGCATCTTGGAACACAAGATCATATCATGCAAACATGTGTGTAAGTGGATGTGCCTTAGCTCCTCCTTCTCATCCCGCTTGGCCCTCACCGTAAACTCAGCATGCTTATCCATGTTGCAGGCTGGGCCATTCACCCTAACAACACACCTAGGGCCAGCGCTATCCCAGCACAGAAGCAGTTCCAAACCGGCCTTGTTTGAGTTCTCAGCTGCGTAAGTTCTCTTTCCACCTGCTCTGTGCTTCTGAAATGCGCCAGAAGGAGGCAAAAGATGAGCAACAAGTGAATGGAAAGGGCGACTGACTTCTTTAAACTGAGCACGTGTACACAACTGAGACACACGTGCCTGCTCCTTCTGCTCCTTTGCCTGCAAGGCCAAGACTGCATGTGATGAGATGAAGCACGTGCATTCTCAGCCTCTTCTTGCTCTGCATATTGCGTCAACCACTTCGACAAAAAATCGACTCCGTCCTGACCAAGAAGCTGCCATGTCTGACTTTGCAAGGCCAAGAGTCCGGCTTGCTCGTGGTTACCCAGAAAAGCTGCCAAAGGCCAAGCCTATGGCACAAGAAGTCTTGGTGGCTGCGCCAACTATCATGCACAGGTCAGCTTTGGGTGAAACAGGAATTTGAAAGTCTGAAACTGAGCGATAGGTCAAAAGCAATGACTCGCCTCTACGGTGAGCTTTCTCACTTGACAGGCTAAAGCGGGCGCGCGGCTTGGACTTGCCTAGAGCAAATCCGCCATTCCTATGCACGTTTGCGTCATCCTTTTTGACCGAGCCCCTGCTGCAACAAGTGCAGCGAAACCAAATAATTTGCGTACTCGTGCCTCAGATGTGTCAAGTGGCCAATGCCAAGGTTACTGTATGGGGTCTTCATCTACCATGCATTTAGGGGACAGGTGTCACACAATACTACATCCTGATCTCACGAAGCCATCTGTCAGACCGCGCCTGCAGCGGATCTTTATTACACTTCGAATCCGTGACGCAAGCAGCAGGCAACTTCCCTCTCCAGACTTCACGTGAATCAACCATGCAGGACAAATGCACACACTGGCCGCTGCACCCTTCCATGTAGCTTGGGTCCCGTCCGGGGTTAAATGACACAGGCCTCGTGGCAATCACAAAAACTCCAGGAGCAAAGTCGCCAAAGCGAACCTGACATGATTTTTGTAGTCCTGGGGGGATATTGCCAGCCAAGATACGGATCGGACCTCAGCACTTCTTTGCGGCGGATCTCCAGCCGTTTTTTGGCAGCTTGGGCCTGCATTTGGCGCTGTCGCTCCTGCTTCCGGACTTCGGCGGCAAGCTCATCCTCAGCAGTGACAATTTGGGGAGCACCACTGTCTGGCTGCAGAAAGAGTGCGAAGGGTAAAGCACGGCAAAAAGCAAAAACAAGGGCGAGGGGCGTATTCGTTGCAGAGCTTGTCGCAGCGTTCCCGAGCGGCGGTGGCTCGCTCGGCGAGCATGGCGTGCTTCACGTCCATCTTCTTGGCTCGCTGCTCCGCCGTGGTCAGATGCATGCTGGTGGCGCGGACCAAGTTAACGGAGGAGTACTTCCTGGCGCGGAGAAAGTTCTCCACCAAGGGAGAATACTGAAGCTTCCGACGGGGGCGTCGGTTCCAGTGTCCCATCCAAGCAGTCTTGTCAGCAAGCGAATCGGCACTTAATTGCCCAAGCAATGGCTGGGTGGCTGTGCCTCTGAGTGCAGGGCTTGCGGCCTCCACATTGCGAGGCTGGGAAGGTGCTGCCTGAAGCACGTCACCCCCACCAAGGTTCAGCTTCCAGTGAGATGTATCCACGAATTCCGGGCAAATTCCGGATGTCCAGAAAGATATACGGATGACAAGGTCCTTGCGAAACTTGTCTGTGAAGTCTATCCGCGACTTGGGATACGCCAGGAACATCGCGTAAAGAACAGCCTGAGCAACAGCATCCGCGTAACATCTGAAGAAGAAGTCCTTCCTGCTGGGATTGAGGGAGCTGAACAGGCCGACAAAGTTGGCGGAGATCCGATCGAAGAGCCGCGTTTCAACGTCTAGATGCTTGCCGGGCTTGAAGTACCAACAAATGCAGAACCAAAATGCATCTTGAATCACCGCGCGGGAGCACTGCGATTTAAAATCTTTGAACCACAGGTTGCGTGCCTGCTCGGACCAACCTTTGAAATCCAAGTTCTGCGCCTTGACTGAGAAAAAAAAGTGAGCTCACACAAATTTGGCAAAGGCTCGGACTGCTGAGCACCACGTGTTTTGAGCCAAGAGTCAATGTTGCTCATGATCTTGTCCATGGGTATGGATGGTGGCAGTGGTGCTGGAGCTGAAAGACCACCGTAGCACTCGGCAGGAAGTTCAGCGTACTCGACGTTGTAGATATTGATGGACGGGAGGGAAACCTCACAAACAAAATGCTCTAATGACGGATTGAGAAACTTAGCTAAAATCAGCTAAGCTAAGAATGATGACAAGTAGCCCGAGACGCTCCGTGACGGGAAGTTGCGGACGGTGACGGCAAGGCCTCGGATGCCTCTTCCACGTGAACCAAAGCAGAGGTATCTGCTTCCGGCGTCTCCTCAGTTTCCTCAGATTTTTTGCAGATGTTGATCAATGCCAGTTGAACTCACCCAGCATTTTCGAATGAAAAGGACTACATCCTGCTTTCAAGGAATAGGGGACAAGAAACTACCTCTGTGATGAAGCCAACTTTGGCATTTGCAGTGCTTTCCATGGCAACCAGCGCCTCCTCTCCCTACACTGCAGAAGGCACAGGTTGTGGCTGCAAGACTCCGAAAGCTTTGGGCACGCTCTTTCGCTACATCTTAGCTTGATTGGGCCTTTGAGCTATTAGCTGCTGAAATGTCAATCAACAGTGGGAGCATTGAGCACATGCAGTTGCAGGCAAGCAGATCATGACATCTTAGACAAATCCAAATGATCCAGAAGCCATTTTGCCCCAGGCCTTTGGCTGGACGACGGCCATCTCTGCCAGAGCCTTTGCTAAGATGCCGCCAACATTCTCCTGCAGATACTGGGCTGCTCCTGCATCCATTCCTCAGCATATCCAGGCGACGCCGACAGAAGTTGAGCAAAGCCAATGTAGTTGCCGACCAGGCACGGACTTATTGTCGACGGATGGATTCTTTTGGTGGCAACCACTTTCGAGCAACAAATGCAGCTGCGGAGTGGCTACTCTACAGCAAGGTAACAACAGAAAATGCCTCTGTTAATGGAACCATCCTTTTTCGGAGCCAGCACGTTGGCCGCAGCGTTTTTTGTACAAGAGGGAGGCGCAAGTTCCCATCATCAGGTTGGGAAGCTGAGAGACGAAGACCAAGACTCTACTTCAGACCGAAGTTCTGCAATCGCTTCCTGGCAAGTCGAGGCGCGCATGCACTCCCAGCAGCAGCTGGATAGTCCTGCAACCTCTAGTCACGTCTTGCAGCGAAGCCACCTTCTCTGGACAATCGGCGTCCTTACCATACTCAAGCACAGCCAGGCAGGATGAAACTCCCGCAGGAAACTTGCTTCTCCCAGGCAGGATTCTGATAGGCATTTGCAGAAATCCACCAATTTCTTTCCAGACCTGATGCAAAATTGAATTACGAGCACACACCGTTTGCGCATGACTATCTAGGCATGGTGCCGAGATTGCACGTGATTGGCAATGTCGCGCGCTCGCAGCAGAAAGCTCCCAATCCGTTCAAAATTGGTTTCATCAGCACCCCTGGTGGTCATCGCGCATGAGCCAAGACGTACACCTCCTGGTGAAACCGGGGATGTATCCGATGGGATTGCATTTCTGTTCCTTACTTGATCTTGCATGCTTTGGAGACAGCTGCGAAGTGAACATGTGAAACTTGACAAATGCATCCATCATCATCATCATCATCGTCATCATCATCATCATCATCAGCTGAGGAGCACGATGATGGAGGCCATCTCGCAAACTTTCTCAATCTTCGAGCCGGACAGGCCTTCCTGCTTTACATCCCACAGAAGCAGATGATTGTCTGTGCCGCCTGTGATCAAAGAGCATCCATGTCTCGTCAGGTAGTCCGCCAAAGCTTTGCAATTTGCCACGACGTCTTGGCAATATTGTTTGAATTCAGGGGTGGCCACCTGCGAAGAAACGATTGGACGTGCAGTTCTGAAATACCAGGCTTGACATTCGACGACGACAAAAGAAATAGCCCTCAAATCAATTCCCAAAATCCTGCCTGCCGCAACTGGAAAGCTAAGGCCCCAATCGTGGCATTGTGCGGGCCTCCCTGCAAAGCAGGAAAAACAGCCTTAGCAATGTCACCTAGATGACCTTCTCTCATCATGACGGATGTTCTCTGACAACCTCACTTACTATTGAAACAAAACTTGCTGTTTGCTGCCATCCATCATCATCAATCTTTTGTTCTAGGTGCTTGCGCGCGAACACCACTCCACCACGTGGTCCACGTAGACTTTTGTGCGTCGTGGTTGTAACCACATCAGCATACGGAAATGGGGATGGATGCTGCTCAGAAGCCACCAGCCCACTGATATGCGCCATGTCAACCATCAGGAATGCGCCCACTTCATCGCAAATTTCACGAAATGCCTGCCAGTCTATGAGGCGCGGATATGCAGAGGCGCCCGCGATAATCAGCTGAGGCCGAAACAATAGGGCCTGTTTGCGCAAACCGTCAAAGTCAATCAGACCGGTTTGTTTGTCTACCGTGTATGGCATGGATTCAAAGTAGACGGATGTGGCAGAAACTTTCCTTTGCGAGGTATAATGCCCGTGTGTGAGATGGCCTCCTGCGGTCAAGCTTAGACCCATAATTCGATCATGAGGCTTGAGCAGAGCAGTGTAAACTGCAAAGTTTGCTGGGGATCCAGAATATGGCTGTACATTGACAGCCCAGTCATCCGCACAGAGGCGGAAAGCAGCAAGAGCTCGCGTTTTGCAAAGTTGCTCCACTTCGTCAATAATTGCATTGCCTCCATAATACCTTGCCCCCGGAAGCCCTTCGGAGTACTTGTTGTTGAGCTCAGAGCCCAACACTTGGAGCACATAGGAAGATGCGAAATTTTCAGATGCTATTAAATTGATACTTCGCACTTGCCGCTCGCGTTCCCTATATAACATATCTCCCAATTCTGGATCCATCTGCTGCAGTGCGCGGTCGTCACCACCTGCCCGCACTACTGCGGAACGTTCGGCGCCTCGCCCACGACGCCTGAAGCATCTTCCAAACCCAATCGCCAATGACATAATTGACAGTTTGGCAGCAGCTGGCACACCATTGGACCAAACAAAGCCTGTCTGCAAGCACTCCAAACATGACATGAGGTTCTTGCAGCCTTAAACTATACGCCATGCATTACCAAGTTCCTAAAAACAATCAGCCCGCAGATTCTAGCTGGGTAGCATCTTGGCTTTGGAGCTACGAAAGAGCACAGACGTCGTTTTTGAGTGTCCACCTCTTGCCCCTTCACAGGTTGAAGCCGAACGCACAAACGCTGGCGCAGCACAGAGTCCATGGCATTACTGCACCATCAAGCAAGGGCCAACAAAATAATCGTCCCGTGCGACACAAACACACACACGGGGTCGTTGCCTAATTACCACTGCTTCCCACAACTGCTGCTCCCGCATCGAAACATCTGCGGCAACATCACAAACATGCGATTCTGTCAGCAGCTGCTACCTTTTCACTGACAATGCTCAGCTCATCACGCGCCACCACCTGCGTTGATGTTCCTCAAGCAATAGATATAAAGATGTAACCTCATGGACGACGATTGCCAGTACAGGAGGCGCTGGTGGAGTCCTTGGCGGCCCCCCAGCTTGTTGACCTGATACAGGAAGATGGCGTGCGCTAGCTTACCTTCATCGTGACAATCTTGGATGGACCCTGTGAGTGCCCCGCAACACTGCCACATCCATCCCACATGGCTCCAACAGGCTACGCTCACTTACAAATTGTAACATATCTGGCGCTGCTATCAAGTTTGCGACTACCGCTGGCTCGCAGTCAAACCCCAAGTGCGCATTGGAAACGGGTGGTGTTATGATAATGGTTTTTGTCTGCAAGATGGTCTGATTCAATAAGCGGCTTGGGACTCGTGACGAACTCTTGGCCACCTTCCATGAGCAGCTTCAGGTAAGAAAGGCCAATAACCCCAAATATCAACACCAGGCAAATCATCCTTTCCAAAATGCACCCATTTAACAACCAAACAAAAGTCGTACAAGATTGTGGCACGAACATGCTCGCACAAAGCCTCACGGAATCTCTCAGCTAGTAAGAACCACATGGGTGGTTGTCAAAATTATGGTCCCTTTTTTGGATCCCTATTATAATACGGCAACTAATATTTAGGAGTACCCAAAAAGGGACCGTAATTTTGACAACCACCCACATGAACAACAAGAGTGCTAACGAGGAGAATGGCGAAGAAGGAAGGCACAAACATGGCACCAGTGGATGCAAGAAATAGAAACCCACACCTATCCTGTCACGACAAGTACATACAGATTGCACTCTAACAAATAAATACAACCCATAAAACTGTCGTAATTCGGGCCCTAAGCCCTAAACCCTAAGGGGAATCCAGCCGAGCGTACAAAGGCCAGCCTGGCACAGCAGCGCCACGCATCACAACCATCCATTGTTCAGGGCAAGGCAAACAGGGGCAAGGCCTCAACACGACCAGTAAAATCAGCAAAAACTTGGGAACCATCATGGTCATGAGGAATGCGCCATGGTTCTGAAATTCATCGACTTCCGGGCCGCATGTGTGTTTCACAGACTACCATCTTCTTGACGTCAACGTACAAGGCGACTAGCCGCGACGGGGAATTCCCCGCAGGCGTCGGCCAACACGTCATTCAACTGTGGCCGCCTGTTTGTGGCACCGCCTCTTCACCATTGACCTCATTTGCGTGCAGCAACTCACAATATCATTGTTTTAGCCCCAACGCTCTGGGTGAGCTCGGGGTAAGTATCACGTCTTTTGTGCCGAGCAGGACCGGCTGAATGTCAGCGCGGGATGGTGTTCCCCGGACCAGGTCCTGTTCGTTGGAGGGAACGTGGACCCCCGGGCCAGTGGCTTCCGAGAGGGCATGCATTTGCTGCATGCTGCTGGTGTTCCCCGAAGGTGATTCCGGTTTCCCTTCTGATGCCGTAGCCCGGGCCAAGTTGGCTCTCCGCCACAGGCTTGGCCTCTGCAGTGCTGTCCGCCCGCAAAGACCAGCATTTTGCTACTGAATTCCTTGCTCCCGTGAACTCAAATGCTGCCCTGCCCGCACCACTTGCGACCCTCAAATTTGCGCAGGCATTCTTGCTTGCACTTGGCGTTGGGCTTCCGCTTTGGATGCCCCCCACCACTACACGAAGCACTGCCCGAGCCAGCCCCAAGAACCCTTCGTGCCTCGACACCACCCGGGGCTGGTAGCAATTGTCCGAGTCAGTTGATGGTATGGGGCACAGGGCCATCCTCCGTGAATTCAATGCGTTGTGCAGAGCCTGGCGCATGCCGGACCGTTTGCTGCACGCATCCTGACCTCAAGACCCTGACGCCTTGAGCTCGTGATTGAGGCACCGCGATTCCGCCCACTTCTGCTGCACCGGCTCCGACCTTCCGCGAAGGCCTGCCGCATATCTTCCGCGATTCGTGTTTGTATCTTGTTTTTTTGCGGCTGCCTTCCGCGGCTCCAGGTTTAATCGTTGGCTGGGGCTTCAAGAGGGCTCCTTTTGCTGCTGGCAAAAGCTTTTCACATTTGCAGCAGCGAAAATGGGGTATGCCGGACTTTATTTCAGAACGCACTGTAACTCCATTGCCAAACCCATCCCATCATTCGGAAGCTAAACGAAGGCCAAAGCAAGCAGCTTCGCCCTCGTCACAAAACGCCCCGCTGTGCTCGGACGCCGGGGCATGCTCGCGCCACGGATGATCATCAATTCACACCCCACGAGCATCTTGAATTGACTGACGCAATTTCCATGCCTGCCATTGCGCACCTGCTCAAAATTGAGTTGCTGCGCATACGACTGAGCGAAAGTTTTCGCATCATGGACGGCAAGTTTCGTGAGCCACGATTGTGTGGGGAAACTATTGCAAGAAATACAAAATCGCATGACCACGTCTGACATTCGAATTGCCAAGCTGGCATGGTTATGTGCGCGATGGTTGGGTGGGGCATTCAAAACGTCCAAAAACAGCTACATGCCATGAACGATTTTGCGCTGAAATCAAACACAACCTTTTCAGCAGACAAACGCGCATTGACTGTGGTTGTAGGCAACATTGGCACAAATTCCATTCTTGAAGAACACAAGATTGTCAAACAGACTTCAAGTTTTGAAGGGTCGTCAACCCCACATGACGCACAGCATGGGCGATTTTGGTGGCATGTTGTTGACTGAATTCCGGGACGACTACCAGCGCGACCTTGCCGTCACGTTCGTGAAAACAGCGAACATCCACTGTCATGGGAGTCGCGTGTGGGCGGCCCCAGACTGCAACCCAGTTGAACGTGCTGCGCGTAACTTTTGTTTCGGCTTCAAGCGCGTCTTGGACGTTCATGGGAAAATCCCCCTACTGTGCGGATCGAAACTCACTGGGCCCAACTTACGCTTGCGTCGCTCAAGGTCAAACTTCATGATGTTGGGGTCCCTAATCTTCTTGTACAGAATGTCCCTCAACGTCCCCCTGGGAGGAATGTCCTTCTCTCGCATCCCTTCCAAAATGGCATGCCGCTGATGAAAAAAATTGAGGACTTTGGAATGCCGCTGCCATTGTCGCCATCTCCATTTCCGTTGCCTTCTGGGTCTCCACCCGGGCAAACCAGGATATCCTCCTCTGCTTCTTCCTCCAGAACCGGTGGCTCCATCTGCGACACTGGAGGACGCCCAAACGACGTGATATGTAACAGGCCTGCATAATCTTGATACTGAGAATTGGTGATCGTGTCAAACAAAGGAGCTCCTGCCCTAGCTAAGGCCAAATTAGTCGCTGAATTGGTGAGGAATGCAAAAGCCCTGCTCGGTCGCTCTTGTGCTGAATCACCCCAGTTGCCTCCCTGAGATGATGTGGCTATAGTTGCCTTTCGGGATTCCTTGTATTTCTTTCGTCTTGAGCTCAACCTCTTTCTGGACATATGCTGAACGCAATTAATTTGCGAAGGACTCTTGATCACCCATCTTATCCTTCAAAGCTTGCTTCTGACTTTCAAAAGAAGAGTAAAGCTTCTCCAAATGTTCGACAGTCTCACGCAACCTCTTTTTTTGCTGTCATCAGGCGAATTTATGGCTTGCCAAAAACCAACTCAGGGTGCGCTCTTCGCGCGTTCCAAAGATAGCTATAGCTTCGGGACTAATTCATCTTCAAGAACAAACTCCATCCTTAATGTTCCAGCGTCCTTCGTGGCCTCCATGAAGTCAATGTGCTTCCTGTCGCGCTCACTCCTCAATTCATCAAGTTCCTGGGAGGATTTGATGCTCTGGACGCGTTGTTGGTGACAGATAGCCGCATACTCTTCGCTAATCCTGTGTTCAGACTGAGACACAACCGCATCCTGTTCAACTATCCGTTGCTCCATACCGGCCAGTTCCTGCGCCCTACCGAGGAAAGCCCTACGTTGCTCTCCACAAGCTCCGCGCGGATTCCCTCAGCGTTGGCAACAATCCCTTTAAAATGACCAACAGCTTGTTCTTCGTACAGAACCCTTTCACGTAACTCTCGAATCTCTGCCTCTGCGCCTGTGACTTGTTGATTGCGAGCTTTGCCCCGCTCCTTCAACTCGGCGATCAATGAGTTTCTCTCCTGTATGTCGTTCTGATACTTGGAATTCATGCGCTGTGCTTGTAGCTTTTTTTTCTCTCACAGTCAGCCCGCAATCTCAGCTCTGGGGCCTAGCCTACTGCTACCGGATCAGCAGGCGAGTGACTCAGAAAAGCCTCTGGAGAGCAGCCAGGGAATCAGAGGACTGACCACCAAGGCAGCAGAGAGCTTTCCAATTAAGGTCCCCGGCAGTCAGCCCCAAACCGCACGAGAAGCCACCCGCATAACCCATGGCAAGAGCCGGGATTAGCGACAGCCGAGCACGGAGAAGGGCGGACGGACCATATTGTTGTCTCAAGTTAACGGCGTGTATATGAAAAAAAAGAACTGCATAAAGGAAGGCGAGCTGCATCGGCAGGCAACACGCAATGACAGGTTACGTGACTACGGTAGAGAGAACCAAGAAGACAGCGTCGTAGCTCCAAGTTCCAAGGGCAGATTTTGTAGTTGCACGGGTTCCAATACTACATAACACAAAAAGGTGGATTTGGTTATTGCACCGGTTCAAACACCCCAAAAAAAGAAAAAGGTGGATTTGGTTATTGCACCGGTTCAAACACCCCAAAACCGAAAAAGGTGGATTTGGTTATTGCACCGGTTAAAAACTTCATAACAAAAAAGGTGGATTTGGTTATTGCACCGGCTAGGCACCTCACAGCCAAGCAGTGGGGGGGCCAAGGAATCTAAAATCACTC